CACACTTTCATTGTAGAAACATAAAAGCCTGTCCATTATTCAGTAAAACATTTAACTCATCCACCCCTGAAATTTCATAATGAACTATTCAAACCTTTGAATGGGAAGAGTTCAAATGTGTCTTCAGGGGTGAATGGGTAAAAACATAACGTTCGTGGGGTCTGATCTCGAGATTAATCATATTGTACATATATATTTACATTTGCGCTGCAACCCACTTTATGAACATGACCAGCAGAATATCATTTCATTTGAGTATGAAAGCGAAAAAATTCGTGTCGTAACATGTATTTTACTTATGACGTCATAGATTAGCCTTGCTCAACGAGAGTCTTGTCGCTTCGCTTCGGATAACATGGATACATGCATGGGTTCCACTTCAAAACTTATATGGCCCGCGATAGTTCTCGTTTTCCAAAACAGAGAGTTGACGGCAACACAAATTCCACCAGGCGTCGAGATACCTAGAACAAGTGAGCTAATAAAGCAACATAGGCAAGCCTTTTGAAAAAAACATGTAAACTTATAAGATAAGTGTAATTCCTAAAACTAAATTCCTTGAAAAATAAAGATCTACCATTTTTTATATTTAATTAAAATAACAAAAGAAAACAACCTCAGTTGTAATCATTTCCTTTTCCTCATTTGTTCTACAACGTGATTTCAAATTCCCCCGTTGTTAATACGTGCCTTGTGACGCATCCTTGATATCCAGGAATTACGCTCACTTTCGCTATCTGCACCCCTGGAACCATCCTTGATATCCAGGAGTAACGCTCACTTTCGCTATCTGCACCCCTGGAACCATCTTTGATATCCAGGAGTAACGCTCACTTTCGCTCTCTGCACCCCTGGTATCATCCTCTATATCCATGAATTACGCTCACTTTCGCTCTTTGCACCCATGGTATCATCCTCTATATCCATGAATTACGCTCACTTTCGCTCTCTGCACCCCTGGAATCATCTTTTTTATCTAAAAGTTACGCTCACTTTCGCTCTTTGCACCCCTGGAATCATCCTCAATATCCAGGAGTTACGCTCACTTTCGCTATCTGCACCCCTTGAACCATCCTTGATATCCAGGAGTTACGCTTACTTTCGCTCTCTGTACCACGGGAATCATCGTCGATATCAATGGGTTACGGTCAATTCCGCTCTCTGCACCCATAGAATATGTCATAGCAAAATTGAAGGCACACGGCTAGCTATTTGATTTGATTTCTGTATATGCATTCCTGAAGTATCCATATTCTCACTATCAACGAGACAAATGTAAGAAAATGCTTCAAAAAGAATGATTTCATATATTTTCATTGGATATTTTACAATAATTCATGAAGCTATCAAGGCTATTGATACAAGTCAAACCAGATTACCTGAGTGAGAACTTGAAGGTGTTTGAATACAGGTAAAATCTCACTTGCTTTGCATGTTTTTTACCTACTTCAGTCAGCCTTGTTGGCTTTGTGCTTAGTTATGATTTATTCAATGGAAATATCTGGCATTATTCTGGAGATTTGACACATTTTCTTACATTGTTCTCGATAAAAGTGAATACACGGGTACTTCAGGAATGCATGTATAGGTATTTTTTTTCATTAATTTATTATTCATTGAAATGTTTAATGGCGTCGACAAAACGTCCGGAAACGAAAGTAAAAACACTGCCCTCTGGTGATGGTAATTTTTAAGTAATGTGTTTGACCAGACTCTTGAATTACAAGTGATCAAGCGTCTGGTTGAACGAGGCTAGATTATAACGTAAGCATTGCTTCAACCTTGCGCTTGGTGAGATAAGTAGTGTACCGGAAGAGGCTTGATACTTGAAAGAAATATAAGGCATTGTAATTAATAATATTTTCATACTAATATACTTATAATTTTATGAAATGTTATTACTTCACCGATGTTTTACCAACATATTGCGGCCCTCGGCTGTTACTTTCATCATGAAGCAAGATAAATTTCGCTGACAAACCAAAGAAAAACAACCACAAATTAAAAAAAAAATCTCAATATTTCAGCGTGGTAATTGACGGACAATAATAATGAAAGTGTATTTGAAACAAAAGTTACATTACACCGAACCACGTTTCAGATACAAGTGCAGATCGGTCAATAACAACAGATGGTCAGACATTACGTCAAGACCTACTGACCTGTGGCCTAATTACATATACCTTGTTAATAATTATTAATATAATTACCTTATATCACAGACCAAATATATATATATATGTAAATTATTAATGACATAACAGACATGACGTTAACACAACATATACTGACCAATCTAACACGTGACTTCGGTCTACCTGTGAAAGAGATACCGCTAATTACAGGTGAGTTACAGGTAAATGTGTTCCTGTGACATACATCAAGTAAACGGGACGGATTCGACAGAGACAAGATACAAAGGCGATGCAAGGTTTGTGCTTTTTTTAATTTCATATTCTTCACTACATTTTTTAATAAATTAATGTACTTTTAATTATTTATTTTAATTATTTATTTTTTCGGTTTTTAAATTACCGTTCCTTCCTTTGATCCATTTGATCTCTGACGAGACTAAATAACACTGAATTTACATAGACAGATGAAACAATAGTTCAAAATGTAAATTAAAAAACTGTCCAGGTTTCTGGAACTATTCCGGCGTTTAAGATTATATTAAACAAATTTGTATCCATAAGCAAAACGAATTGGCTAGTAATTTTAATGTACTCGTTTAGAATTTCATCAATGCGCCTCGCTTTGTCATTTCTTAACTTTTCAATAGAGTATGTAATTTCTTCTTTTGTTATCATTTTATTTAAAATTAGATCATATTAGTTGTCTTCTATAATAGGGAGTTCAAACTCATCTACGTCATGATCTATAGTCGAACTAGGATTTTTAAAGTAATTATGAAGTTCAGAAATTGGTATGTCCGCCTTTTTAAGATTAGTTGTGCCGGATAGTTTGTTAAGTATTTTCCATAAACTATTTAGATCCCCTTTTGAGGAGTCCCGTATTTGTTTTTCCATTTTGTATTGATGGGCTTTATAACATTTATCCATCTCTCCTATATTTACTACTATTATTTTTTAACAAATTCTTATCAAAAGTCGTTTTTGTCATACTGTATTTTTTAGCTCTATGGAACTCTTTTTTATATTTCGCACAGTCACCGGTGAACCACGGTTTACTGTGTGTTTTATTTTGCTAAGCCTTATAAACATGATTTTGTCCGAATGATTTTTAGGCTGACGAAATAAATACATCTCCAATACTTTTTACAATTTCGTTTACTTCACTACAGGTTATATCGTCATTTGTTTTATCTATTAAATCAGCTAGAATTTCTGTTATGTTGTGTATTTTATCATCATTATCTTTTTTCTATTAGAGTATAAAAGAGTTGATCTTTATCTTGTTTCCATTTTACAGATTTCTTATGTGTGTGAGAAGTATCTGTACTAGATTTAGATTTGTAATTATTTTGAACAGAGAAGAACGAACTTTATTCTACAGTCCACATCAAATAATATTGGATTTAAGTTGCCTACTTCAAATTAAGTGACAACATTAAAGAGAAATGACAATAATATAAGATAATCTATAACTGTTGCGTCATTACATGTTTTTTCCCCAATGAACTTATCAGCTCCACTTCGACCATTTGCAATGTATATATTGTTTTGCTTGCACATATCTTGTAATTTTTTACCATAATTATTTACTTTAGAATTACATTCACTGTATCTCATCAGTAGAACATTAAAATCGTCATACATACATTTGTAATCATCACTTGAATCAATATTTAGCACTTCTGCTAAAGAAACGTCATGTTCAATATAATCAGGGTATTTCTGTGTTTTAGCATTAAAATCACCCATAAGGGCAAGTTCACAGTTGTTTGGAGATAGATTTAACATTTCTTTTTCTACTTCAGTAAAAGCCACAGGTGATGAATATTTAGATTTCTCTGGAGGTATATAAATACACCCCATCATTAGATTAAAATCAATTTTAGATACAGTTATCCATTGTACATTTTCAGATTCAGTAGGATGAAATGCTAACATTGACTCAAGTTCTTTTTTATACACAATGAAAATTCCGCCAGATTTCCGAAGACATCTTTTTCTGTTTTTGACATAATAAGAATAATCATAAGGAACATCTAAAACAGATAAATCATCAGTTTTGCTTTCAGAAAAAACCCAATAGTATCACATGAGTTTATAAGACTTTGAAGTTCGGGTAGAATTAGCCTTGATTTTAAGCCACAAACATACAAAAAAGAAATATTGATAACAAACAAATTTTGGACACCAAACAAAGGGTGACCTTCTGTGGCGTTGGCCTTACAAGGCAGCTCATGCGAATTCCTCAAAAAATTGTATTGATTAATGTATATGATAATTGCATTGATTGTATAAAGTGTATATCTGTGTACTGTAAAGCGCTTTAGAATGGCTTATTCTAGCACATTTCAATACATGCATAATAATGAAATACGTTTTACATTGTTTACAAACTATGCAGAAAAATGTCCGACAAGTGTTGACCTATGAGACACCGTTATCACAGTACAACGTTATATATAGAAAAGTAATATTGTCAGTCTGACATTATTACAATCTTTATAAGTTGTATCGGCCTCGGAGAGAGTTTCAATTGTTTGTTCACTTTTCTGTCATGAAGTTATCTGCCCTTTTATTAAAGCGAAGGGAGTATGCATAACAATAAATCTTCATCATTGTGATTCCTTATTATTTCTTATACGGACATTTGAGTCGTAGTACGAAACCGGATATCGTATGATTTTGTTCAACATAATGGAAATGCATTTCAGATGTTCAAACTAAAATACACGGCATGTAAAATATAAATGTTTTTTATATAAACATAGCGGTAAATAAAGAATTTTTCATCATTAACCTAAACACTTTATTTACATGTATCAGGACTTTCTCAATGTTTGTTTACAGTAGAAAAGTGGCGGAACTACATGTATCTACCTAAATGAGTCTGGCTTGTAGACTCGGCACTTCGTGATGATGAACGCGTCATACCTTCTGCTGGCCACTCTGGTTGTGTCGGCAATGCATACCGTGCAGGCAGAATATAACCCAAATGGTGAGATTTTTTTCTCTTTTACTTTTTCTGTTGATTTTTTAAAAATCTAACGAATAGCTTACATAGCTTATTTTTGAAGATTATACATTATTTACCAACTAAATAATCGTGTATATTTTATACATTTCTGTATTATAAGTCTCAATGTAGAACTGACAAAGGAAAGGATAAAAAAAAATACAGGTAAACCCTTTACATCTTTTTGTAAAACAGCCATTCAATATTCATTTTTTATCAATAATAATAAAAATAATAATATACAACATTTGATATAGCGCCCTATCTAGCTAACATAAGCCACTCTAAAGCGCTTTAACTCTTCCCGTACCGGTGTCGTGTACACACGACAACAATATGTCATCTTGGTCCCCGTTGTCGTGTACAGACGACACAAAAATAGTTCGTCTCATCCCCGTTGTCGTGTACACACGACAAGATACTTTGATATTGCCTGTCTAATGTTTATCTGGTTATAGCAGATTGGATAATCCAATTTATTGTCACTAAAAGCAGCAACAATCAGAAATATTTGTTTAGGTGCAGAGTGCATATTATTCACTATGTGACCTATTGTTTTCGAATTTGCAGGTAGATGTTTGCGTTCGGTGTCTCAAATATAAACAATATGGCGGCAACTGAATTCAATACGAACACTGTTAAATTCATCAAAATAATATGTATTGAGACTTATGGAAGTAAATATGAATAATTTGATACAAGTCTCGATAAAATTTACTTGTTTTAAGAAAAACTTAACGATTTCGTTACCATAATCAATTCCCATTGTGAACCTGCACTACAACGCTGTTTTGAATACAAGAAATCGTATCGTTCGTTGCCGGACTATTGTCGATTTCTCTTGCATAATCAGCTGCCAGTTAGTCATAATGCTGCGAAAAAGAAGACATGAGTATCTATGAACAATAACGTGTAACAATGACGATATTTGTTTACAGTTACCTGTTTATTTCTTGCAGCAGTTACACTTCGTCTAAAAAAATACATTAAAAAACAGCCATTTTGTTATATGTGCGGGGGCGAGTCTAATAAGGACATCCGGTACGGAATCCGGACCGGAATTGCGGTACGGAAAGATACAGATATAGATATGCAATTAATACAATTACCATAAACATAAATTATTTCAATTTCGAGGAATTCGCAGGAGCGGCCTTCTCAGGCGCTAACTACTAGTATTATACCACCTGGCTAATACCTTCATATGTGTATATGCCTGCGTGTGTGCTGGAGATGTATTGTGATCTGTTTTGTAGTGGGACCGTGCTTCCAACGGCATCTTTTATAGTGCCACCTCACTTGACAAAACAGATACCGCAACATCCATCCGAGACCATTGTATACTCCACCTGGGTTGTTGGAGTTGTGTAGGCAGAAGAAAAACGCTTTCGCCGATATTCCATGCGTACGACCAACAATTACCCTAATAATCATAACTAAATATGATATTATTTATAGCATGACATTAATTTCCATATATATATATAACCGTGTACCCCAACAGGGTAAGAGATATACAAAAGTGGTTAGGTCTTTCCCCACCGACAATTTGTATATCCCCCACCCCATACCTGCATATCTAGTTACGTATAATACATAATTTAATATGGGAGAAACATAGTTCTTCTCCTCCACATAAGAAAAAGTTGGGTAGCTAGTGTCTTTTGGGGAACTGGTTCACACATCACATATCTAAACTGTTCAAATTTGTTCATATCATTGAAAATTCCATTAAAAGATGATACTCGTTTTCTACATCATTGTTGCACAATTTGCATAACCTATTATTGTCAGGAATTACAGGTGCGGGCATGCCTACCGTTGTCAATCTCAAGGGGCAAATAGCTACATCTAAAGTTGAATAAGAGAATTCTTTTACATTTGAGATGTACAGGTTTTACATAATCGATAGTGACAGGTTCATACTTGTAAGTTATACACGCAGTTTATTATCATTTCAATTGTTTGTGTCATCCCACAAAGACAACTGCCACTTATCATCATCTTCAGAACTCAGGACATTCTTAATACCCCTCATATATTTGTACGTTGATGTATTTGCGGTTAAAACTTCACTTAAATTTTTCTCCGCTATCAGACTAACAACCCGAAAGTCCCAGGATTTTCTAACAAAACGTGACCATTTATGAATTGTCTGCAGTAGTCTGCTATCATCGCTATTCTATGTACGTAAATATAGTGTAAAAACTTCAGTTAATTGGTTAACTTCACATGAATTCCCACCCATATCTCCTTACTTGCTTTTCTAGCAGCACCCAGAAAATATATGCATGCTTTATTTTGAACCATAGCCACTTCTCTATATTTATTCAGACCCCAGGTTCCAGTACCATAAAATAGCACTGGTTCTACTAGGAATACATATAGCTTACAGTAAACTTCATAACACATTTCTCTTGTATTACACAATTATTGTACAATAAAATGTAAATTAAACGTTCATGAAACCATAAACCAAGGTTTTTGTAATTCTGGATTTTTTCTATAGGGATATTCCCACATGTACAATTAAATTTTGTTATAGGTACAGATGGATAGCGAAAATGCACAACTTTTGTTTTTTCTTGATTTATGCCTAATTTCCACTTTTTACATGAACTACCAAGCTTGTCTAACATATGTTGCATTGACTCTTCATGTGATGCGATAAGTGTTATATTATCCACATACAGAAATATGGATGTCTTGGCATCATCGACCTTGACACCTTTACCTAGTGATTTGATATCAGAGGCCAGGTCATAATAAAAATGTTGGGAAAATGTTACATCCCTGTTTCAATCCTTGTTTTCAAATGCCTTTGGAAGTTTACAGTTACTCTTTTGAAATGTTAAAAAATCAAATAAAAGGTCTATGCACGCTGAATTACGTAAAACCGAGCTCTAAATAGCATCCATACCTGCTGCTTTATTAAGTTTTGCTATCCACATTTGCGTTCATTGTGTATACCCAATTTACCTATTTGCTTCCAGAAGTCCATTTTAGAATTAGTACACACATTCAAAAGCTCTTCCTGTTTTGACGCCTGGAATTTTCTTTTCTCCTTACGTAAAACAACATCAACTTCTTTCAAACAACGTCTTTCATGAGATTGGCCTTTAAAACGTAGCCATTCCTTCTCGCTTTTAGTGCGAGTTGCCCATAAAACAGTTAATTGACTTGTCCAGTAAGGTTTACGTCTAGTAAAAGCTGACTTTAACCTCAGGCCATTATTCACTTGGATTTTGGGTAAAAAAATCCATTTCACCCCTGATCAGAGAAAGAAACTTCTCATATTTATTATTTACATTAAGGTTATTTTGTAGTTCAAACTCAATTCAAACGATTGTGGACAACATTTCCCTCAATGCATCATCATCGTTTAAAATATTTGCTGGTAAATTACGTGTGTTATAACTATATACCGGTTCCTGACTAACCCCAACGTTATCTGTTACAGTACTAGTGTTACATGGCATATCAATACAGAATTATAACAATGAGTAATAAAGGACAACTATCACCTTCCATATTTAAGGTTTCACAAAAAGTAGACATCAAATATACTTTACAGTCTTTGATACTATGGTGTTGTTCATACGGGGTCATTACATAATCCACCACTGACCTTCCCCAAGTAGACATACATGTACAAACGCGTTGGCCGTCTACGATCACTAACCCTCCACCACTTGGTCGCTGGTTGGAGACCTACCTGGAGAAGTCACCAGATGCTGGCCGTAGGACAGTGGTTTTTCTCCGGGTACACTAGCTTTCCTTCACAAACCAAATCCTGGCACGTTCTTAAATGAACAAAGCTGTTAATAGGACGTAAACAAACAAAAACTAAATCAAACAATCACCCAATGTGCCCCGAAACCGCATGTTATATAAACAGACTATCCCGATTCAATTTGTATCAGTTTACAAATTAACAGATGCATATTGATTATCATTTTTTCCAGTGACTGTGACGTCATGTAGCAGTACGGCCGTTGTCATACACATACAACATGCAAGAGATGGCGGAATAATCTACATACAGGAGCGCGGACCGGAATGTAAACTTGTCACTTCCGCCCTGTCACGTGATTACATATTCAACTTTGACCTCTGCAACATTTCACTGGTAATTTTTGTAATGAATCAGTAATAAATTGCTGAGACAATATTTTTTTTCAAACTTTCAAAATATCAATATAAATTAAATACAAATTGGTTAAGGTCACACTTCCACTTTCAATTTCCCACTAAACAGTATTTACATTTTATTTCATTTAAACTACTCCTCCGGAAAATTCACCAAATGTTCCTTGCAAAGACATTTCAAGTAAAACTTATTAACAATCCTTGTCTAGTCCTACTTCATGATTTTCTGATGTATACGAAAGTTTTCATGTTCTCAATTTAATTTTAAAATTTATTTTCTGTTTTTTTCTTTACTGGACAGGATACTATGTTTCGGGTAATCGTACAGGAGAGACCGAACATACAGACCGGAAGTGATAAAGTAGTTCCAGTCATGTGCATCGTGGACTTGGGAGAAATCATGGTTGGAAACGTCATAATGCCACAGTAAGTTTATACTAATATAGGGAGCACGAGACAATTCTTAACTTATATGCACAGTGACGAATTTTTACTTTTCAGTTATGTTTAGTTTTTGTTACTATAACACAACTTGTCGAAGTAATTATAGCGAAAGCTTGTTTTACAAATGTATCTGATTTAATTAACGAAGTATCGGTCAATATCACTTGTTCAGGTTCATATAACCACATTTCCCCCCCAAAAAAGTAATCAAATGTTATAAACTAGTAAAACGATTGAATCATTAAACAGGATAGAACGTATCAAAAACGTATTCATTAAGTTAATATTGACCCACTGATTCTAAAATCTGAGACTATTGAAACATGCATACTCCCTTAACAATAAGCCGTGCGCTATGAAATCCTTAGATTTAAATATGGAGATTATTTTAACATTGAATATCAACTGAAGTTGTTTTTTTATGACATCACGGAAATAATTCTAGCTACAAAGGTGGACCGGGTATTCTCCAATGCTAAAAAGTCCATATGGTCGTCACACGCAGCGATGTTTTTCCAAAGTCAAAACACCGTAGCCAGACTGCTTTTTTAGTATAACATATGAGGAACTCGCCTCCCTGAGGTCTTGTTTGGCCTAATAGGAGCTCCTTTGAGTGCTCTTGGTCAGAAAAAGAAATTATTCTTACTCAAGTTTCTGACAAAAACACTTTTTGTGTCGCCTGCAACACAAGGCGACATATAGGTATTACTGTGTCGGCGTCGGCGGCGTCGGTTGCGTCGTCTGAAACAAGGTTTCCGTGCGATTTCTTCAGTTCCCTTGGGTCGATTCAACTCAAACTTATTACAAATATTGCAAACAAATATTGTTCGTATTTCAGAAGTTTACGTTCATTTTTGTGGAGTAATGCCCCTTTTATTGACAAATAAGGGCAAATTGTAAGAAATGCAAGAACTCTTCTTTTTTTCAATCAATTCCTTTCAAATTTTGTACGGTAATGCTAGAATCAATAATGTTCAACACATATTACGGGATTTTCTGTCGGGTTTCAACTTTCCGCGTTTTGGCATATCTGTTTACGCGATAACTCAAGCCAAAACAATTTTCTTACTAAAAGCGCGGAGCTGGCAACACATCCACGCCCGTAGACTTCTTGTTTCCTATAAAGCTGAATTTTCCTTAAAATGCTGCTACTTAGGTGTACAGTAGTTGATCATTTTGATAGCAATATTTACTAGAATCTTTGATGCAAGTATGTACGTATACTAACTGCACACCACTCATGTTATGCTTTATAGTGTCAGTCCACCAAATGTTATTGCTTATAAGATATGCTTATTCTTTGTAAGGTTAAACTATTTTAAAATCCTGAACCTTTTCATTTCCAAAACCGTTTACTAAGTGATCTATTTTTCTGACTTTCTGCTAAATTAACGAAAAACGTCATTAACGCAGCTTCCGCTTAATTTACTCTAGCAAATATAAGCCAGTTCCGTTCAACTTGATAACAATGTTTGTGTTCCTCTGTATTTTCACCCATCTTGGCCACTCTTTGGTTTTGTGATATAATAGCTGTAGATATTGTGCAGATATTTCAACCAAATTACGTATGCACATCCGACTCATGCTTAGTTTGCAAACCGATGTCATTTGTGCATATTTACGGATAATTAATGAGATCAGTTAATTCTGATGTATTAAACGATTAATTTATACCGTAATACCTACATGTTCAATAAAACGTCCAACTTCTGTTTAAGGCTTTTTTTTACTTCGAGTTTCAAGCTAAATTCAAAATGTAAAAAGATGTCTGTCTCAAATTCGTAACACTTCGCAATCAAGACAAACACTACTTGAACATACTTTTCTTGAATTTTTTGTTTTGTGAGCAAGGAGACTGTGTATTGTGTGTTATACATTTATCCCCAAAATATAATATACTTACTGTATGTACAAACAGGCCGTCTTTTCTTTTACCAGAGGGACACTGACAATAATGAGTTCACCATTCAAAAACTGAGAAAAGAATTAGTGTAAAATCAAAAATAAAAGTCGATGATTTAAAGTTTCCGATGAACCATTTGAATTATTTTCAGTAGTGGAGAATCAAGCCATGGGATAAACAAGACGACCAAACCAGTTGCCCGTATGAGGATAATTTCCGACCGTTCAAATGACGTCAGTCAAGGAACAGTCATTCTCAGTGACGAACTACGCATGGAAGTTTCACTCGACAAGGAGTACAGAGGTTGGTATGACAAATAATGAGTTTTACGTCACATTGGATGTACCCGCGTTGAAGAAAGAATATGGTATCATCTTCTACAGAAAGTTCCTATGTTCACTCGGGAATGTACATCGTCTCAACAGCACGTGCTGTAATGCATATTGCACGTGCAACTGGACGGTACCCCGATTATCAAAGTATTTTTGCCTAGAAATGTTACATGTTGCAGCAGCAAGGATTTTTTTCATTGAAAACTAAATCTGTATAATAGTGAATCGGACAATGATCACATGACTCAAAATAAAATAACCGTATTCTACCGTGCTCGAGGTTTTCCGGTCATGATTCTTCTCTAGATCTGGACCTCTTTAGAGAAAACATTGAGAAATGTTATCTCGGAGTTCCAAGTCATTGAAGCAGACAATGGCGAATAATTCGGATTGTTCCTAATGTTAGTATAATTTATTGCTTTTGCAGAAGGGAAATACGACTATCTGTTTCCTTCGATTTATCATGTCTCACTTTTGCTTTACCTTCGTGAAACATGATTAATATCGAAGAAAAACAACGAATCATAATATCATGTGTAGCAGAGGTAATTTCTTTACACAATCACTCTGCTCGGAGTCGAACCTGGGATATCTGGTGTACCAGCCCTACGCTCTACCGAATGAGCAAAAGGGAAATATATTTTCTCTATTCAAGTCTGTAGGAAGAGGCGGTTATTATTACCAGAGCCACACATGTATCAAGGGCAATAAATATATAACACCAATTCCATACCACCATAGTCCGACAACACATCTTTAATATCCGATGATTTGACAATGGTGACTAAAATATTTATATAATTTATCGAAAATCAGTTAAAACATTTGATAGTAAACCACTTACTGTCCTCGATATCCAGGGTTTAAGCTCACGTTTGCACTCTGCACCAATGCAATATGTCATAGACAAAATTGGAGAACTCGGCCAGCTATTTGATTGGTCTCAAATAAAAGAAATATCTGACCAATCGCTAGGCTGATACCTGTCTTTTGAAGATTTAAGATCTGCGACACACGATTTCAAAGCCATCTGACTTTACTGTTACGCGACTAGACTTTCCATCTCATCCGCAAGGTGCACACTGAGACTTTGATTTTGCTATGACATATTCCAGGAGTGTAGAGATAGAAAGTGAGCGTAACCCCTGGATATCGAGGATGTAACGGTTGTAGCAGACGGCTAGGGTAAAACCAGTTCTGTTGGCTGAATGGTGCTACACAGTTGTATTTTCATAGAAGAGGTTTGGTCAATCTATGACATTTTGTGGTGAAATGATATTATTAATGATATATATATAATAATATTGTATATCAAGGGGTCTTGTTATGAGGTGGATATGTACTTTTCATTGCAGATGACTTTGAAATCAGTGCCACCGATTGTTCGGCATCTGAAATGGACATCATCAAAGACAGGTGAGTTGATTTGTTTGATCTTAGAACAGTCATCCTTGCAGGTACCACAATTTTAATGAGATGGTTTATGTGACAAAATGATATTCAAATTAACCCTGCATGCTCCAACCTCTACGCCAACACAATAATAAATAAGGGGTGGGGGTTAAATTATAATTACTCACTGTAAGTATGGGAAGCGAGGATGTTTGCATTTTTAACGTGTAGTAGATCATGGCGAAAAAAATGTAAACACGCGAACATATTTATGCATCAAAGACATATAGATTTTCAATTAAGTGCCAAAACGAACTTTTCCACACAGCAATCAGTTCAAACTGTTCAAACCCACCATCTCCATTATTTTCATCAACATTAATTCCGAGATATATTTTGGTTAACCATACACGAAGCGAATTATTGTATTAAAATGAAATGATTTGTAACATATTAAGACATTTACATGTATTTTAGACGGGCGTTAAAATTATCAAAATTAATAACAAATATTGTGTAATCAGATATTGTCGTCATAGGACCTAAAGTCCGTGATTTCCAGGGGAAAAAACAATACAATTTCGTGGCTAGTTGAATTTGTGGATCGCATGTACCCATTCATACGGAAAACCAATCAAACTTGTGACTACTTCATGGACCAATGAGTTACTGAATGAAGACTAAGGCCAAAATCTAAGTTATCAAACAACTTCAAGAAAATTAATGATTTCACAGTTAATTTTTAAAATGTCTTTTCGATATTCATAGTATAGAAAAATGTTTTATGTTTAATGACGTCATTATTTCTGTCGTTTTACAAGGAGTAGATAGTCTGAAAATTTGACCTAATCCAATCACTTGTAACATATCATGAGAGGTGCAATGTATAATAATTCTTTTGCAACAGGTGTTCAGCAGACGACGAACTATTTCCAGATTTTGTTCGCGATTCAAATGGGAGCCTCGTTTCCAAATTCAAAGCCTTTATCCCGACAGATTACGAGGGAAGAGAATCTGTGGAGATGTCCTACTCGTGCACGTTAGTAGTGTGTCAAGGAGGCTGTGAACCGGTACGTTTACTTGGGTGGAGCATCAGCTTCTATATATAAACGAGAAAAACTAGTTATTATTAAATACTTTTCCAGTTTGTATCGAATGACCTAAACCACAGACAACACAAAAAGTGATGACGTCATATACCGCAGAGTTTGGCGCCGTATTTGTAATTCTAACTTCTGATTAGTTTAAGTTGTTTGGCGACGACATTACTGTGCAATGTTGTGTTTTGTGTTTTATTGTGTTTTTATCAGAAATGATTAATTATTCACTACCTATGAATGAACAAAATATATTTTTTGACTGTATGCATTCCATTAAAAGTGATAAGTATAAGCTTTGTTGGGATTATATGGTATGTACCTAAATAATTGTGTGCAGTTTTTGGCATAAACCGCTGTGCGGATTTATGTAAAGTGAAAACAATGTTTTGGTATATACCGTTTAACACAAAAACAAATCTAGTCATTCCTTAGATAATCTTACAAAATATATGTTTCTCGTTGATATGTCTACTTTATATACAATGTACATGCACCAATCCTCTACACTACAGGGATCTCACTCACTTTCGCTCTGCATCCCTGTAATATAATATATCATAGCAAATTCGAAGGCACAGTGTGCGCCACCTTGTGAATGGAATAGTTTGATCCTTGAATGAACATCAAGAGAATATGTCGGTCGCGTAACGGTTAAATTGACTGGCTTTTAAGTCAAGTGTCTCTCATCTGTATTTTTTAACGAACAGGTATCAGCCTTGCGATTGGTCAGGGTGTTTTGTTACCAGAGACCAATCAAATAGCTAGCCGCGTGCGTTCAATTTGGCGATGACATATACCATGGGTGCAGAGAGCAAATGTGAGCGTAACCAAAGGAGTATTAGAGATGACCTGTACCATGCATTGTTATCTGAACTTTTACTGTTGCTCAGTTTCTCTATAAAGGAGTTTCTTTAAACTGCTTTCGCGGCAATTTCTCTGGAAATACTGTACTTTTAGTTAAAGTTCCGGTTCATTGACTTCAACTTCAGTAAAACACCGAAATAGAATGACTAGAAAACCTAGATCTATTACTCGATATACCAGAGTTTTAATTCACAGAAATATAAAAAAAAGCTTAGGTTAATATTTTTTTTACAATAAGCACCAATAGCTTCCAACAACGAAAAAAAAGGAATTTATGTTTTCATAACATGCTCACAAATTTAAGTTCGAACTTAAACAGAGAAAGAGAGGGACCATTGGCATCGCCTTGGCGAATACCAATAATTGTGTGGATTTATAAGGTCAGTAAGGCTATGTTTACCAACCAATCACAGACTGACACGCGTTATGCACTACTAAGTATGCTACCAACGCGTATGTGACGTTTCGTAATAATCCGGCCAGTAGTTTCTGAAGGCAAATTCTGGTTACGGCTTGTCGGAATAAATGAAGATAAGAAGAAATAATAAGTATGGGACACTCAGCAAAATAAGTCCTCTACTTTATTTGGTGGACTTATCGAGAAAGTTGACATAACTTTTAACAATTTTGTTGATTCATTTTTTATGGTTCCAGACTGTATGCAGAGAGGTGGTTGGATGGGGTAAGAAGAAGAGGAGAAAGAGGTCATCACCTGAAAAAGACGTAGACAAAATAACCTGTGGAACAACAATTCGAGTTATCTCCCCTCATGCTAAAAATGCAGGTAGGCATTTAGTATTTATGGGTGCATGCTAGCTTATTTAAATAAAAAATGGGTTTCACAGAATATTGCAAGCAACCCAATTCCTAGAAACGGATTTTTTGTGTGTGTGTAAAACATGAATATTGTCCTTTATAATCCCAAAGTAAATTTCGACACTTTCTCAGTCTGGTCTTTGGATCTGCCATTGTTTTGTAATATACATTCATCTTTAACAGACAAAGAAATGGGACAAGATATACCTTTTCAAAATACCACCACGAGACGAAATATCTACAATGTTCGTTAATATGAACGTAGGACGAATGCGTCTGTACCTATACAATAAGTGATAGATAAAGTATGCCCTTAAAGACTTGCATTGCACCATGTATTAACAATAGCAATATGCATATTTACAGGAACGGCGATGATCCATTCCATGCGTCAACGGTTGGAAACCCTGTATACAACTCATGATCGATAATTGCTTATTTTCTCGCTTTCATGTCTTTATCGTATTAGTATTACCAAGAAGGTCATCATAAACAATATATACTTCAATTTACGTCAGATATTATGTCTTAATGAAGTTATGTTTATCTACACGTCCATCTCTTTTTAATAATGGTTTGCTTATATCCGAATCATTTATTTACCAGCTATATATAACAGTATCTCACTGTATAAGATACAATTTCAAAATCGGTAACAGTATATTTTCCAGTTATTTTTAAAATAATAAGATAATGAAAATTCTTATTCAAAGGAGGGCTAGTCTCTTAAACGATTAAAAGTGCCGTAATCGATTAGTTTGTTTTTTGCGGGGAAAAAAATCTACGTTTAGATCGTTTTGAAATTGGGTTTCTTTTTTATCAGTTAGTCACTGTATAGCAAATTGAGGAGGTTGAGATTGAAAATGTTTTCAATAAACGGTTGAGCTAGGAGCTAATATCGACAAGCAAATACCTTTGTGTATTATCACCACGTCGTTATGACGTCACAGTCATCATTTCCAAGGTAGCGGCTCATTAATCGCTGACGTTGGTAACCTTGGTGACAAAACAAAGGAGATGTAGATATAAATATTGGTATCGCTTTGTCTAATTTCAGAACTAAATCAGGCAGACACCACAGATGAAAATGTGAATATCAACAAAAACATCATGTATGTTGTGGCTGGATTAGGATGCCTGACCCTAGTGACGGCATGGTTTTTGAGCTGTTACCTATATCAGCGCCTCCTGACGGCAAAGGGGGAAACCAGCAAGGTCAGCGTTGCACGTGCCGTTGGTCGACGACTGTCTGCCATGTTGAATATTCCTTCCGGCTACGAGCTGAATAATCAAAAGATGATGCATTTCTTACCGGAAGAGGAAGGGACAACAGAAAGACGTAAATCAGTGACAGTAAGTGTGCCACCGGAAGTGACGCGTGACTCCCAAAATGCAGAGCAAATTGAACCATCCTCAAGGATAGATAAATATGTCATTGACGTTCGAACTGAAAGCGATAATGATGATTCAACGATTGATGATGACGAATCAGTCTCCTATGTTGAGTCAAGTGACGTCACAAACGTTGATGATATTTATTCCGATGACCTCAAAGTCAAAAGTTCAACTAAGGGTCATACTTATTGCGGTTTCGCTAAACCGAACAAGCATTGCTCTGCCATTAATTTTCAGGGCACGACAGCAGATACGAACGATCAGACACATTTGCCAACTGTATCGCGATATATTCCAAAACAGTCACCATCGATCAACTATAACAACAAATCGATTCTACAATTAAGGTCTGGGGATGGTTATGGTAGTGAGACCGACACAGACTCTGAGACCAAAGCCACAAATATTTGACGACAATGCATACGTTTCTGATGCAACGCATCTCGAGGATGCCATCATTTTGAAAGCAAAAATATGATAATTTTATGATACAAAATGACTAAGATTTTGTTGTAATTCGAGTGTTTTGAAACGGAATAATTAGGATAGACTTACATCAGAAATTCTCTACTACTAAATTGAGAACCATTGACAGCACATGCTATCCCAACAGTTTCCCAATGCTAGTTTACATGTTGAAAGACACAGGTAAACAAGGCAAGAATTATTGTCATATTAAATACGTTGATTTGTAATATTTTCACGAAATTTTCCCCAAAAATACGGGTCTATTTCTAAACGTTAATAGCTAGATACACCAATTTGATGTTTGATGAGAAAGAGGTATGACTATTGACTTTCTCGAGCAAGAACCATCAGCCAATCAAGAGTGATAACATTGACCTAAATGTCACCGTCCTCTGACCTTTGACATAACGCCCAAATCATGTACCGGTGTCTACAACAAGCTAAGTACTACAGCATTACAAAGTTTGTTCAAGTTAAGGTAAGGAATAATTAACTTATTGAGCGGAAACTATGAGCCAATCCGATTGAAGAACTTGACATTGAACGACCTTGAACGACCTTGAACATAGAAGGAATGATCAGTAATAAAAAGGGTCGACTTTTACTTTAGTACACAGTCTCACTGCGGACTGACAGACGTCAAAATACGTCCGTATTACTCAGCATGAAAAAGGAAGTCATTTTCCACATGTGATTATTTTATATATTGTTTTTAATCTCTGAATTCTACGAACTATGTTGTGTATCTCATACAAGTCAGACGAAAATTCTGCTTTTTGCATCAGCCAAACACATTAAGATGAGGAAAACAAATGTATCTGTTGCCTAGGAAACAAATGATAATTTATATATTTTTTTAATTTTTGACTCATCACTTCAGATATATGAACAAGTTTATCATTTAGCATAAGTTTACTAAGCAAGACAGAAAGTTTAACATGTTTCCTTGTAGAACACCAGAATATCGTTGATTATAAAATGTCGTTTTTGTGGCTAATGAGTTTGGTAGGAATATCTATATCGATTAGTAGTGTTTTAAATTAAATCAATCATGCGTAAAATTCGCCAATCACCCTGTAGCTCCAAACGATTTTTTTTAAACATTCCAGTAACATACATACATCTCTATAAATTATTTGATACTAAATTCAACACATTTTCACAAAAAATGATATAGAAGCCCTCGTTACAATTCTTGTTAACCTTTCTTTTCATGCTGAGTATACGGTTAGAGAGTTAAACATCTTGCATGCTAGAATATTATGGGATCTTATTGCAGTATTTGTTTTTTCTCAGTACTCACTCAATAAATCCATGCGTTGTCAACTGAAATCTGCGTCGGATTACAGGATTGTTTACTAAATATCGCATGTATACTATGTATTTAGTATACACTTTATTTACTCTCACTCGGTATTTCGTCTTTGCGTATTGCAGAGTTATCTTCTCTTGGTAGCAGGTATTGATTGTTACGTCCCTTATTTGTGAGAGTAACGTCATCAATTTTTGAGAAAATGACGTAATTTTCTCACACAAACCAATGACGTAACAATCAACACCTGCTCCCAAGAGGAGATAACTCTGCAATACGCAAAGACGGAACATGTAGCAACGTGTTACAGATTGTATATAGTCAATAAAATGTGCGTAGACTTATTGCATTATTTACACAGTAAAACCTCGTTATACTGCCATCATTTGTCCAGAGAAAGTTCGGCGTATGAAGGTGTTTGGCGAACAAAATGAGCTGAACATTTTAAGAAAATTTTAACAAAAGTATATTAAATAAGTTACCGGTAAATGGCAAATAAAACGAGAGGCGTCTACTGTAACGTAACATGGTTATGGCGTAGTCAGATGTAAAAGTAAATCGTCTATGGAGTTTGGTCACGTGATGTGGATAAATGAAGCAGTATATCATCTTTGAAGTTTTGACATGCGATGCAAAAAAAAACAAGCAATAAACCATTTCTTATGTTTGGCAAAATTAAGCATTAAATCGTCTTTGAAGTTTGGTCACGTGGTGTATAAAGACTAGGTAGTTAATCGTCTATGAATTTTAGTCAAGTGGTGTTTCACTGAAGTTGGTCACGTGGTAGTGTGAGCTGTCTCACGTGTATTCTGTAGGTTGTGTATATATCTTAAACCGACAATGCGGTTTCATATAAGTACTTACATCAAATACTCGGCATTTATGTCAGAGGACAGTAAAATGTACTAACACAGTATATGTTCATTTTTATTAATCTCAATTATTTGTTTGGTATTATTTGATATTAAAATCAATGAAAATTAAAAGAAAAAAATATTATTTAGTATTATGCCTGTAGTTGGACAGGGATGGTTACTTTTCAATAAATTAAATTTTAAATGAAATAATATATCATTGTCCTCTAAACGTTTGCCTTTGTATTTGTTGCAGACGATGCACATTGGGAAACTAGACAGCTCCGCGTACTAGGAAGATTGCACAGATATGTCCTCTACTTTTGTTTACGAGATACACTCAATTATACACATACATCGTATATCTGTTTGGGCAACGGTTAATTTTGGAAATATATGTTGAATAAGTGGCATCAACAGTATGTTGAAGAGTGGATATAAAACTCCTACAGTTGAAGATAAATAAAATGTTATTGGGAAAAAAACAACGTTTTGTTGTATGATATTGCCGTAAATATCCATCTAATACACACATGAGACGCATATTAGTGTTGTCAGCAAAGTTTTAAAATTGCAAACAGTCGGCGCCTAATAGTGTTGTCTGCATAATAATACACACAGGTGGACTTAGAAGTGTTTAGTACACAGTCTCACTGCGGACTGGCAGACGTCAAAATACGTCCGTATTACTCAGCATGAAAAAGGAAGTCATTTTCCACATTTGCTTATTTTATATATTGTTTTTAATCTCTGAATTCTGCAAACTATGTTGTGTATCTCATACAAATCTGACGAAAAGTCTGCTTTTTGTAGCAGCTAAACACACTAAAATGAGGAAAACTATTGTATCTGTTGCCTAGGAAACAAATGATTATTTATATTTTTTTAAATTTTGACTCATCAAACCAAACACCCATTTGACATTATTCATTACGAAAAAGAGAAAGAAATTGCGTACGCAAAGATAAAAATATCACAATACTGCATATCAGGATATTTCCGCGTGATGATGTTTTAGTAATTTTGCGGTTTTAATAACGTGATGGCGAAAATGTGATACGCAAGTTAATATGAAAAGCGTAAAAATGAGCTGGGATGATACATTTCTAACCGTAACGTCATGAAATAGGGCGCATGTGACAAATAATATACAAAAGGAATAATGACGTTTGAAAACATGTTACATGTTTATATGTATCACCCATATTATAGATTTGTTGACGATCTGCTTAAAAAGTGCACTTACTTGTCGTTGCTTAATATGCTCTCATAAAGAGCATTCATTTGACTTTTTGACTCTTTGAATTCCGAATGTCTCTGAACAAAAACACCACGACAATTGTGCTACTTCACACGTCCAGATGTTGAAATGATAACACATGCAAATTTGATTTCTTATTTTTGGTCAAAAATATCACAAATTTAAGCTTGCGTTAATCACACGTTATTTATTCAAGCTGATAGAATATTCCTGGATTAATAAATGTCAATTTCAAGAAAAGTTGGAATACACCATGTGTGATACATAGCAATTAACAATATTTTTTAAAATAATATTGTGTGGAATAGTATGTGTCAATAATACGAACAGTATCAAAATAAAAATAAACCAAATATAATTTTTAATACAGTTATTCTTTATTAAAACATTATATTTTTGCACCAGTTAACGTGCAAGTAAATATGATAAATGTGATAGACAAAAAGATGAATTTATAATATAATTTGCAACCATTATTTTGATAAACATGTATTTGATTATTTTCTACAAAACATATGACAATGACAACAATGTACAATGGTATTTACATTTTTCATGATACTACTAAAAATATGCATTTCATGTGACGTCATATCTTTAATATCATAATAAGAGCTTAGAAATAATATATAAAACATAGAAAAAATGCACAGATACTTTGAGTNGGGGGGGGGAGCCCAAAAAACCCCTCTGGATCCGCCACTAATACTGTACATACATTACATGAAATATAAAATGACACAGAAATCACAAATAGATTTTCGTAAATGTGCTCTATATAAGTTATATATCGTTTGATGTGTACAGTTTCACGTACATTCGTAATAATAATAATAATAATTCGTGGTTCTTATATACCGCTTCATCACAACTCCCTAGGGAGCATACAGCCGGTGCTGTCATTTCGGCGCTCACAGCTAGCATCAAACAATTTTAGCAGTGCCCAACCACATACTCATTTACAGCTGAGTAAACTGGAACAAGCAGAGTAAAGTATCTTGCTCAAAGATACAACACAGTGCCGTGAAAAAAATATCTTGTAACATATATCGTCCCCTGATATAAGACAGATTTATGAAATTAGTCTGTTAAAAATTCCCTGTCCAACTGCGCTGTTGTTTTTTTCATATTTATGTAGGTAACCTCTCCTGAAATCCGTTTTTGGATATAACTCTAGCACATGTGGGCCGAATGGACTGTTGTTCCTTTGGCCAAGTCGGTTAGAGCGATAATACATTAATCTTATGTTTAGGTGTTTAATCCTGGTCTAGCCCGGCTGAATGGCTACGTAAAAAAACCCACTGTTGTTGATTATATTTTATTTATTTAATATATTGTTTTACTCCATAAAATTCCTACAATTTTTGTTTCGCTTACAAAAAAGATATGTCAACACTGTAGTTATACCAGAAAAAAACCCAGTTTTAATAAAGTGTTACAGATTTTGTCAGTAGTTCAGAGATCCTTAAGATATATTGTTTCTTGAAAGGATATATCTTTTGCAAAATCGAGTGAAAAGTATCATTTACCACTTAATGACACGACCACTTTAAAACCTTTCCTAATTCGGATTGCATCATATGCTGACGTCATAATTATAATGTCGGATACCTCATATCACCGATCTTCCCTGGAAGATGTCTGTTCTTTGTTTGTACAAGTACACACGTTAAATGGACCTCTTTAAAGTAAATTGTGAGTTTTAACATCTATTTTTTCCACGAGAATAAAATATATAAAAAATGTAAATATGAATATTGAAATGTTTCTGTTCGCATTCATAATCTAATTTAGCATGTTGTTTTGTATATTATTCTAGCACAAAAGGAACAGGAATATTTTTTTTAACAGGTAAATCAGTTGGTAGCATCGACTCTATCGGTAGTCCAAAGTTCGAATCCCAGTTTGGCCCGATTGATTTTCGATACTTATATCATTGAATAGTTTATTCATTTCTTGTTGTTTTTATCTTTATAAGCTTAAAGTAAGGGTTCCGAAAGGCATAGTTTCTTTTCAGAAATGATTTAACAAAGCCATGTCTATGCCGCAAAAATAAGTCACCGATGTATAGTTACAGTTTCTGACAGAGATTAATGAATCATTTGAAATATGGAACTTCCCCTTATTTGTGCAAGAAACGGGTCGTCTAAGGGACAAATCCCATTTTAATAAGACAAAGCGGTTGGTATGCCATAACATATACGCTTACTACGTGGTTTTGTTTGTTTTTATTTTGTTTAACGTGCTATTAACATATAAGGTCATTTAAAAACGTTCCTCCTTGTTTGTCGTGTATATGTGCATATGTGTTTGTGTGCCGGAGACAGGGTTTGTTGGTGTAATTGCTTCCTTGTGGAAGCGCAGATATCATGCCGGTTTATGGGTTATCTGACTGAAATGCAATGCCGAAGGCACTCAGCACAGCATTCCACCCGATCACATTATACTAACAACTGGTGAACCCGTTGTTGTCATTACCCTAAGTGCTTACGACGTGACTCACATTGTGACGTCACAGCTCAGTTCGTCATTTCGTGGTACTATTACTGATGCATTACGTGAAAGTTCCCTTCACGTTTCTGACGCCATAATGCTATAGTCGCCAATACGATCAGACATACAGCAGCCACGCCGAAGATAACTCCGAACAATGTCCAATCTGAAGGTTCCAGCTCCTTGACAACAGAAATAAAAATATTGTACATCACACTTCTCAAAAACCTAAAACAACATTAATCATTATATATTTAAAAAAAAAAAAAAAAAAAAAAATCCCAATAAATAAAGATGTAATTTTCTCAATTTTCAACATAAACAACATTAAATTTAAGATACATAAAAGAAATCGAACAAGTGATGATCATTTGTGCTTTGTTTTTGCATTGTTTTACAATAGGCCGACAATTACATTAATTAAATGCCAAATCACACTGAACAAAACACGTTCAACAAGCGGTGAATGACGTTTTAAGACTGATACACAGTAAAGTGAGATAATTTTCCATTATTGTTTTTAAATTAAATAAATATACGCTTTAACGAGGATACTTTTCTTTCTGCCAATATATTACAACATTGGATATCAATCATGATCAATAGCCACATTTATTCTACAGCCTATATATATATTACTAAAGTCCCTTTTTAATTTTAAATGTTGTTATATTGTAACTGCGACATCACTCCGAGTGAGGATACTAATATTAAATACGTATTGATAGCAAACACAAAACAGATATGGAATAAACGCATTGATACAATGAATGCACTGACGGAGGTCACTTGAGTGATTGATCTAAAGGCATTTTCAGTGTCTGTACAAGCGCACTTTCAAGCGTCCCATTGACAAATACAAAATAAACAGGATCATGCCCTCAGCATTTGTTATTATTTACATTAATGCAGTATATGGTATATATGCAAAATTAAGGTATATGTATACATATTACGGGAAATATGGAAGAGGAAACTGGTAAAATCTCTATTTAAGGATACCTATCCCACTATAGGCAAAACCCTAAATAATTCTACAATAGTGTTTATCCAATTTTCATGACTGTTGTTTCGTTCCTGATGCAACTGTAGTTGGTCTGGATCAGAAAATAACAGCTTATTAGGTGACTCATTCAGTAAAAGCCACCGTATTGTGATCGAATGCCCATAATTCTAGTTCCAGTCCGACTCCGTTACATTTTACATCTCAGAACACTGTTTTTAATTTGTGTTATTTCATATATATTATAATTTCTAAAATTATCTGCGAGGCATTGGAAGTATTCATGTTCGCAGTTACTGTGATGCCGGTTTATAATATAGATACAAAATCACAGTAATTTGTTTTGATTTCGGACAGGCATCTTTAATATAAATTTTAATAAGAATGCTTGCGCATGTCTGTACTTTAGATGAGGCGCGTGTATACATTTGTACCTAATAAAGGAATAAAGATTTGAAGAAATAAATGATAATATGACGATACCCAAAATGGAAATTTCAGGAGTGATTTCGTCTTTAACAGAACTCATTTAGTTACACGATATTCACTTAGAAGTTTTAGTAGACAGTTATAAGCACCTCGTCATATTACTCGAGTTAGGTGTTTTACTGACAATATTCTTAATATTTTTCTTCGATTTGAGTAAATTTTATTTTGTTTGTGATAAATTCTAGTCATTAATGCATTAAAATATTTATTTGAAAAGTACTTTTTTATACAGATCATTGTATATTTTCATTGTCACATCATGCTATTTTCCAGGGAATGTTTTTACTATACTGTTTATTCTTATATTTTGTACATACTAAATAAGCAATATGTGGACGCATAAACAAAAACTGATCGAACCACTTTAATTTTATCAGTTTTTTAAAGGAGGTGTTGCATGGTGGCCCAACTCTTCTTTTGTTGTTAAAGGGGACTTTCAATACCCTTCCAGTGGTATATAGCAATTTACCAATTGGTGATGTAATTATCTTGCAAATTACATTTTACTCATTATTTGTCATAAAATTTTAATATTTCAATTTTTGCATTTTTCGTTTAAGTCATTCACCTGCATTGCCAAATAAATAATTCCTATTATACAAAGAATTCCGATTCCGTACTGTGCCATGTAGGGTTCCCTAACGTTAATGATCATAATATAAAACAAATCTCTACTACCAATCTTCATTCCCAACTCTGCATCCTGGCGAAAATTTACCAATGCCAACGTTCGTTCAAAACAACATAGCTATTAGCTACATGGTATCTACTACTACACTGTTCAAACTTACCGTTATTGTGTTGGTAGGTAGGGATCCGAAATTGAAGTGAAACTGACCAATCATGGTCCCTACTACTACACTGTTCAAACTTACCGTTATTGTGATGGTGAGTAGGGATCCGAAAATAAAGTGACACTCACCAATCATGGTCCCTACTACTACAATATTCAAACTTACCGTTATTGTGTTGGTAAGTAGGGATCCGAAATTAAAGTGACACTGACCAATCATAGTCCCTACTACTACACTGTTCAAACTTACCGTTATGGTGATGGTGGGTAGGGATCCGAAATTAAAGTGACACTGACCAATCATGTAGCCACTTGATCCCAGAGCAGACAGGTATACAGACGGCGAACAACAATCTCCACTGTAAAATAAAAACATGCCTCATTCATGGATAAAATATTTATCATTATGGACTTTTGTCGAGGTCGATACGGTGATCAACATTATGTGGACCTGTGATAGAGTAATATAGACCGAGGACACAGTTCCAGGTCAATATTATTCAAAATATACTTGCAAAAACGAATTTACTGAGAAATATATTTCTTAATTTTCATGTTACTTAGCATGTCTTTCGTTAACATGATATATTATATATACCATTAGAAAGATCCCGATCTAAATTTAGAAACAGGAAATTAGAATCAAGGAAAACCAGCCGTTACGTAACATTAGATTTATAAGTATGGTGACATGCTCTCGGCACTAGTTTATATACCTTCATAATAATGTTTGAAAGCTTAATTATGTACTTTTGTGTTCCATATAAAATGTAGACCTTTCATTTGACTATGTTTATGATCAAAACCAAAATAACAACTAGAAGAAAAGGAAGAACAAAATATGGGAAAAAGTAGTTCTTGTGGTATGTAAAGGTAAATAGTTCCCCTTTCCCGCTGTATACAGGCACTGGAGAGCTACTTTCCTGATATAATTTTTATCTTTTCAATATTAAAATTAAAAAAAAAAAAAAAAAAAAAAAAAAAAAAAGGTTAAAACGTTTTGAAACACCCCAGCACAAATGCAGCGAATAAGTTACAAGGGCATAATTTAATGATAGCAATATAGAGATCCTCCTAAGGTTCTTAGAATACTTTTACTACCCATATAGTAACATGCAAGTACTTGTAAGCATGTTATTTATAATAAAAAAACAACAATTTGGTGAACAGACACGTTAACAAAATTAGGATATGTAGGAAAATTACTAATAAACTATTAATTTAAATGGTGATGGTATCAATTGTCAATATACCGTATACAGGTATATGTAAAAGGGACAATACATGTATAAGTGGAAATCAAATTGTTGTACAAGTGATTACTCTGTAAACTGTTTCAAAACATGTGAGCCATGTGTTTTAAATTAATAAATAGATATACAACATTTGATATAGCGCCCTATCTAGCTAACAGAAGCCACTCTAAAGCGCTTTACAGTACATAGATAAACAATTAATACAATAGCATATACATTAATCAATACATTTTTTGAGGAATTCGCAGGAGCGGACTTATCAGGCGCTATCTGTTAGTCCCATGCCACCTGGTTTATATCTCCCATTATTACCCTTTAGAGAAAAATCTAGGAATCTGATTAGTTAAAAACTACAGTGTACCAAACCGCATTCGTAAATCTCAGGTGGTATACGAAAATCTCAGGTGGTATACGAAAATATCAGGGGGTATACGGTCATGTCACGTGATTATCAGCAGTAATACGGTGGAATCACGTGATTTTACAAGTGGTATACGGGTCAGGTGTCTTTGTGTCTTGCGCCGGGCATCGGGAGACAACTCGCATTCGTCGTCTGCTTCGCTGTTTACAAAATGTCAAAACATTTCGATTCGCATACTAATGAGGAAATACTCGCCAAAAGGGCTAACAATGTGCCACATAACACACAAAAGTCGAACAGACGAGCGGCAAACATGCTGAGAACGTATTTAAAAGAAAAAAATCAGGAAGAACAGCTCGAGGAATTTGATAAAACGAAACTAAATGAGGTACTGTGCCTGATAGTTTTCTTTGTTTTTATCATAAAAGACTCAAAGACTCAAAGGGGTAATAAATTCGTTACACGGATTTTTGGCAGGGTATACTATCCCGTATACCCAGCCAATAATCCGTGTAACTAATAATGTGTGTATGCCTGCGTGTGCACTGGATATGTAATGTGTTCTGTTTGTAGTGGGAATGTAATTCCAACGGCATCATTTATAGTGCCACCTCAATTGAATGCTACAGCACAGCTACCGCAACATCCACCCGAGACCAATTTATATTCTGCCTTGGTTGTTGGAGTTGTGTGGGCAGGAGAAAAACACTTTCTCTGGTTGCGTGGAAGGCCAGAGTGTTAACCACTCGACCAATTCGCCCGATTTTGCTTTTGTTTTGTGGATTTGAAGGGAGAAAACACGACACACTATTGAGTTCAGAGCCAACATAAGCATACTGCTTAGATTTCAGTAACAGAAAATATAAGTTAACCATTTATAATTGATACGGCGTACCTAATATTAATATACTGCTTTCCATCATCGGTCGTGTAGTTTGCCATTATCTCAATATTTGCATCGATGGTCGATATTTCGTATGACTTTACTTCCGGAGAAAAGACAGCACGACTAGACCACGTGATGGACTGACAGGAAGCTGGTGAATTGACCGTCTCAGGACATGCATCCCCGTTGTGAATGACGTCGCAGGCTGGATTCTCAAACTGTTAAGAAACAGGTTTTATAGAAAAATACAAACATTTTTAGCAGCATGTATGTTTAGCTTTTGTGTACTTAGTCCTAATATCATAGCTTTCATGGCATCTTTAGTTTTTATAGAGTATAAAGCAATGCTAACACTGAATAGAGAATTACACTATAGGTTTTCGTATTTAAGGTAGCCCGACCTTAATTTCGTTTAAAATACAATTATTGCAGAACTGGTCAGGTGTACTTTAGATCACGAAGTTGCTTAGTTAGAGAGACGGTATACGGATTAGAGGTGCAAGGTATGAACGAGTGTCTGGTGGTGTTGCCTACATTCTACATTCAAAGTGTTGTCTTTTATTGTATAATATAACCTTAAATGTCCTTATTTCTTTTCAGAACTGTATTATCAAAGCTATGGCTAAGTCAGATTGACGTTTTTGATGCACAGCAAAAAAGAAAGAGCATGGACGGGACGTAAACAAAAGAAAGTACGTAGATCCCAAGTGTTTCAATGTCCACTAAGGAGAAAGCACAGAACGAAACAGAGACTTTGTAAAGGATAACAACTAAAGTTAACTCTGACGAATCACCAAGTAATCAATGGGGGAAATATTGTAAAATTTATCCCCCTGGGGTTGGTCTTTTTTTCGTGTTTTTTTCGAAGCAGTTTGTAGATATAAAACAAACTTACCCAAACGGAACCAGATAAGGACTGTAGTGTTTGTTCAGAACCCTGCTGTCTCACAGACACAGTGTACTTCCTACAAAAAAAACCCATAAACAATTATCACATATCTCACATGACAAATGTATCGATGGTTAATCATTTTGTCTGTTAATTTTTTTATAATAACGTCGTCAATTCAGTGAACTAGAAGGGAATACATTTTCTGTTTAATGTATTCCTTTGTTAATGGTTAATACCAATGAATTAATTTAAATAATCTACCATATTATTTGTGTTTATTTCTATCAATTATGAACTTTGATGAGGTGTATATGTCAAATTACAATTGTTTTAAACACTATTCAAGAAAAAGCTGCGTCCTAAAACCTTTTGTCGATGTAACTAGATACAACGCTAAATATAAATAAGACAATAGGTTAAAATCTAACCTGCCTCGTCCTTATAACTCACTAAAATATAAGTGTTTTTAATAGTATACAACCAATTGTTTGCTTGTGGTTAGCGTCATACAGTATCTAGCACTTTTCATTAGAATTTGTTTCACAAAACCAAAATATTACAGCGACATAAACTGTCACACTAAACCTTTGTAAAATTCGTTTCACTGATTTAAAAAAAAAGTATGTAGATAAATGAATAATTAACCGAGATTCTGTTTACTTCAATTCTGACCTCGATAATCTAAACAAGGGGAATAAGCTATATAAACCATAAACATTTCGCTGAATAGGGACAGGGGGGGGGGGGGGGGCAACCAACTGAGTCATCTTTATGAACCAATTTTAACTTTTTTAGGACTTAAATAGGACAGCCTGATGTCAAATCCAATTGACATATATAAAGTCAATAACATATATTGAAATTGTAAATGAAAGTACGTTTTGATAGCCACTTAGTGACGGAATGTTACCCGTATATTTAGCGAAATGTCTCAATATTTTCTGACGGTTGACTTAACTGATTCGACACACAGTAGCTTAGTGAGTTATACCTATGTATTTGACAAGAATAAGTAGAATTGTATAATATTGATTGAAGCTCCTTAGGTCAAATAATTGTATCTTAATTTCATTGTATAAAGTATTGTAATGTTAATTTGAAACAAAATATAAAACAGTCTCTTTTTACTTCCCAGAACGTATCTAATGAAAACATGTTTATTTCTAAACTCATGCAAAGAGTAACAGATTGTGTCGTACGAAACACTTTAATGCATTTTACAAATTCCTCAAAGTGTTATATTTACAAACACTTGATAGATACTTTAACACTTCAATATTATTTATGTAAACCTGTTGCAGATAAACATAAGAATATTATGTGTAAATACAAGCTTTCATTGCATAGTCTAGTCTAGATATTGAATCTGGAAGATATATATAAAATAGGCCAGACACCTTAGGTTTTGTACCAAACGTATTTGTGGATATGTAGAAGACGAGTATCGTTTTATTCTATAGAATAAGATGTATTAAGCCATATTACTGGCGTAGTCATTTTGTCTTTAAGCTAGTACAACTTCCTCTGTAAGGAATGGAAAACAATTAAATACTCTTGGTATCATTGTGGTATATTGTAAAGTACATGTATTAATTGCACAATTTATGACAAACTAAGTAAAAGTGTTCCACATTGTTCAGTCTACGTTATCCTGTATACAATTCATTCTCAAACTTTGCCTTGCAGATGTTACAAGCAGCTTGTCAAAAGAATCGCACGTGTGGCGTGATATCGAAACCTTTGGGTTTTCAAGATATATATTTACTGTGAAATAGATCATTAAACGTTTCCTCAAATAAAAACCCATAGAATATACCGAAATTATACTCATTCATAGACGATACAACATTTGTAGGACGTTTTCGAATATGGTAATTATCATGCTGCAATGTTACGGAATCATTAGAAATGTAACAACACAATTCCGCAACATTATTGATGAAAATATTTGCATGATTTAAATTTGTACTTACAGTGTTTTAGATGTCGTCCGACCTATGACCTGGTAGATATACCCGTTGACCTCCCCTGGATACATTGTATGCATCACATTAGACAGACCGCCATAATCTGCGTCAACGTCTACAATGAATGTTTCATTGTTTGGACCATGGTTTCCCAAGAAGTAGGTAATGTTCTGTGGCTCGTTGAAGGGCAAAGGATCTTCAAAACATTAAAATCGATTTGTTGTTTTATTTTTTTGAAAATGTTCAAAGGGTGGTGACATTTCATTAATCGGCATCAAGTTCATCCTCACAGAAATGTCAATATTGTCTCGGAGATTACATCATTTTGTAAATTCTAACAATTGTCTTTGGGTTGGTAAGTATAGATTGTAGAAAGGATCATTTAGCACAAGCAGGTAAGTTTTTACATGTAGGTGTGACGTTTTGATTACGAGAACGGCATGCACTCTGTCACCTTGTTGTTAAAAATGGTCTCACCATAACAAGTTCAATGTAACACATAAACGCTACTTGGTTATGCTACATGTGTGAATTGACACATATGATATCTACAGTATATGTTAGTATTTCTCTGAGACAGTAACGTCAATAGCCACTGTACCTTTTGTACCCAATAGTATAGTCATGTAAATTCGACAATTGGTGTAAGACCATGCTTGTTCAATGTTAAATTCTGCATATATCCCACCTAGCATATAACTATTTTTTGAGGGTTATAAATAGTATGGCATAATATTTAAATCCCTATATGATATATATAAGGACATGCAATTACTTTGAATTTTCCTAGAATTACATGTCGGATGTTTCTGATGGAGCAAGAAAACTTATCATCCAGAACACTTATTAAACGGAAACACTGCATTTTTTTCTATTTTTCCTTTTTTTTGTATATCTGGTCATACATTTTACAATACTGCGGTCATATAACGGTTTCGTTAACACTTCCTAATTCTCCTTTTTGTATTATTGACGCAATTAATGTTGTGAACTAATATATTGTTCTAATAACGATATTGATTTTAGTTGCAATTTTTTGTAGTGATGAGTGGATCATTTACGTCCAAACACGTTCTTAGGTGGACAAACCGATAGAAAAAAAGGATAGAAATAATAGTAAGAAATAAAAATTAATACAACTTAAAAATAAATTATATCTGAGATGCTGTAACGTTGTAATGGGGATGACGGATCGGAGGAAAGAGGTTGTAGTGGAGGGGAGGATGCAGAAGAACAATTTAGGTTTCTGCCGTGTCCCCTATGCAGAAAATACAGATGTAAACCTCTATTGTTTGCAGGGGTTCATCATTAATCGCGTCAAACAACATTACGCAAAAAAATCTTTCCTGAAACCTGATAGGGATGTGAGATAATGCAACTAATTACAGTCCCATTCAGTCATAGTTCAAGTGTTCAATAGTTAATACTAACCTAAGTTTGTTTGTAGTCGAAGCTCCACACTGACCGGGGAGATAATTTGTAGATTGGTTCTTTGGAAACTTTCCCCGCCTGGAAGAGCACCGGTTATCTGTACTCGGACTCGCTACAATCACAAAAAGAACACTTAATAATCTTGTATCATCGTATTTAATGTGAGTCACAAACATATTCACTTTATGCTTAACGGAAAAAAAACACTGAAGGTTATTTCTTGGACAATTATAAAGCAAGGTTCCTTCGCCTGCTTTTGTTCACACTGTGGAAGTATTTCAGTTTGGTTAAACAGAACTATCAACGTAACCATCATTTGTTTATGTTTAAAAATAACACATTACCTAACAAACATGTCTCTGACTTATTTTATTCAAACAGCTGCTTATAAACGGTATGAGTTAAGAAATCGATATTCAACGGAAAATACGTTTACATGTGTATTTTTGATTAACGTGTAAATGATTATCAAGTGTGTAGTAATTAAACCCCCCATTAACTAATGTTTGGACCTTGTTTTTATTTTTACACAAACAATATAGGTATTAAACGGGTCGCAACGTTTGGTCCCTTTGTCAAGCTATGACTGAATGAATGATTTGTGTTATTTTCCTGTACAACGATGTGACGAAATTGCATATTATTCATGTCAGTCGACCCTAGACGTTTCGCCTATCGATAGGGAGCGAAAAGTAAAACTTCGATATCAAATATTTCCAAACTGATTTCCTTTCATTTTCTATCAGCCTTGAATTTGTCGGCGCCGATGCGTCTACGAAAATTGTAAAAGTTGAACAAATTCGTAGAGACAGTAATTTTTCGATTAAATAACCTTTTCATATATTTACCAGGCTTTGAAACTTTACCTTTATCTTATTTTGTTTGATTGTATTGGGCTACATTGTAACGGTCCCATTTTAAAGCTAATGTCGTTTTACGATGTGGCTCCATGTTTGTAATGTAAGTGTGCACGAGTGTATGTCTGCTGGAGCCAATTTGTAAATTGTATTGCCCCCTTTGCAATATTTTCGATCTGATTCCTATTTTGGTAGTGGTGCCTCACTGAATTACTATGCCAAAGTCACCTAACACGGTATTCCATTCGTCCGTATATTGCATTTACTGACAACTGCCATAAACTCTGAATGTTCAGCAAAGATTAGCAACTGTCATTTTACGGATTTCGGTACACCAGAGCCTGTGGCAGAACCCATTACCTACCCAACTTTGGTGAACGTTCAGCAGGTAATAACAACTGCAATTTCACGGATTTCGGTACGCTCAAGCCAGTTGCCTTCCCAACTTTGGAGAACGTTCAACACAGACTAACAACTGTCATTTGCGGAATTCGGTACGTTCCGGCCTGGGGCAGAACCCATTACCTACCAAACTGTGATGAACGTTCAGCCGAAAATAACCACTGTCATTTTTCCTACTTTGGTACTTCCCGGTCATGGACAAAACCCTTTGCCTTCCCAACTTTGGTGAACGTTCAGCAGGTAATAACAATTGTTATTTCACAGAATTTGGTACGCCCAAGCCAACTGCCTCCCCAACTTTGGAGAACGTTCAGCACAGACTAACAACTGTCATTTTCGGAATTCGGTACACCCCAGCCTAGGACAGAACCCAATACCTACCCAACTTTGGTGAACGTTTAGTAGGTAATAACAACTGTCATTTCACGGAATTTGGTACACTCCAGCCTAGGACAGAACCCATTACCTACCCAACTTTGGTGAACGTTATGTAGGTAATAACAACTGTTATTTCACGAAATTCGGTACACCCCAGCCTGGGATAGAACCCATTACCTACCCAATTTTTGTGAACGTTATGTAGGTAATAAAAACTGTCATTTCACAGAATTCGGTACACCCAAGCCTGGGACAGAACCCATTACCTACCCAACCGTGATGAACGTTCAGAAGAAAATAACCCTACTTTGGTATGCCCCAGTCTTGGACAAAACCCTTTGGCCTTTTGGAGAAAAAAAGATTGATATCGTACAAGGAGATATTAAAAATTGCAATGGGAGCTTCATTTGTGTCTCATTTGAAGGGTATAAAAGCAATTCTGTATGGGGTTCATATTTAAGATACAAGTATAACTTTTCTTGATCCCCGACCTGCAGGGGTGTGAACAAATATTATAACACATTATGGACAGTAACTTACTTGTGTAGGCATTTTGAAGTTTGCAACAGCAGACACCTCTGATCCAATTCGACGTAGAGACGTCTCAACCTTCTCAACCTCATCTCCGAAAAGATTAACAAGAGACATGTCATCTAGTGATGCGTTGTAGCCTAGATTGAATAGCTGGGTCAGTATGCTGTAGTTTTGACCTGTTAAAACAAAGTAAAAAACACTGTTTTAATCCTAAGTTGAGAGAGTGCCGTATACGCTTTCTTCTGCTTCTCTTGATTAATTTTGATTACGACAAGCGAAACCGTAACAGCACACTAGGTTTGTTGTGGTTTCCATAAGGCTTTAATGTTCTTTAAGCAACAAAGGTCATTTTTAAGGAAATGTGTAAAGTATGCGTACATGTGTGTGTGCTTGAGGCAGGGTATGTTGTTGTATTTTCCTCCTTGTGATAGTGTGGATCTGATGCCGACTTTATAGTGCGGTCTCATTGAAATACCATGCCGATGGCACCAACACAATATTCCACTCGATCACATTAAACTGACAACAGGTAAACTTATTGTTCATATACTTCTATTTTCTAAACGTTAAGCAGGGACATGCAACTACAAGAACTTGGTATTTCCCGACCTGGGGACACAACCAATTGCCTACCCCACATAAAAAAAACTTTCAACACCAAGGCCAAAAATGATATATCACCTAATAAAAAAATAAAAAACGGGGTAGGGGAACACACGTTTTAAAATTAAGTAAAGCAAATCAGAGATCGCCCTGATAAGCAAAGTTGATTATATGATTAAGATAACATTAATTGGTATTAAACATGAAGATAAAGTGGTAAAACAGATATCTGCATGTTATTCTTATCTTTAAAATGCTTGTGTTTTTCTTTCCTCGGGACTGCAGTATAGGTGGTATAAATTGAGTTTGTATATACACGATTTAAAGTAATAAATGACAATTTCCCATATTCATCGCCTCTTTTTGTTTAATTTTAAAACTAATGACGTTCTTAACTGGGACGTTTGATGTCGTATTTGTAATTCTAACATCTGATTGGTTGAAATTGCTCGTCGATAAAACTTCACCACAATGCTGTGATTCCTGCATATAGCTAATGTTGTTTTCATGCGGAAATAAATATTAGCAATGCCCTTAAAAGTACAAAAGTTTCCTTTTTTTAAATTTAATGAAACGAAAAGCCAGATTGTTTGGGTTGTGCATAAACCACTTCGCAGATTTATTTGATGACGTTAAGGAGACTGCATACTTAAGGAGTTACACAATACATTGTTTGTGGGGAAAAAAATCTGCTATCATTTCTCGTATATTTTATAAAATGATTTAGAAAATTATTAAAGAGACTTAACGCCGAAAACTGTTTCCAATGTTTTATTTGAAATTTTGATCGTTTGACATGATTCAAGCGAATTAAAATGAATTTGGTTTGAACACAGGATCAGTGTTTGAGCATAAACATGATTTCATGAATACGGGCCCTGATTCGGTAGCAGAGAGTGATATATGAAAACAATGACATCTCGAATTAATCATCCTCGTTATCTAGGTGTTACTTTCACTTTCGCTCTCTACACCCCTTGACTATGACATAGCAAAATTGAAGGCGCGAATATAGCTGTTTGGTTGGTTTCAGGTAAAAAGAAAAACGTGACCAATCCCTAGGCTGGTACCTGTCCTTTGAAGTTTACAAAAGGGAGACGCCCGACTTCAAAGCCTGTCAACTTTTACCGTTACGTGACCGCGAGATTCTTTTGATGTATATCAAAGAATCGAAATATTCTCCTTGTCTCATCAACAAAATGGCGCACACGGAACCTTCAATTTTGCTATGACACATTTCAGGGGTGTAGAGAGCGAACGTGAGCGTAACCCTTGGATATCGAGGATGCGAATCAATGTACAATGTGACAATTATGATTTTCTTATAATATTTATATTCGCGAAGTAAAAACACTTTCACGAATACCGTGTTTGTAAAAAAAAAATGGGACGATCGCTACCAGCGATGTTTCAAATAATCAGACCTGCTATTGGGTTCCCTTGTATGATGTATGGAACTCCACTCTCGTCTTGTTCCGTTAATACTAAAGAGAAATCTAACGACGATGATCCAGAAGCGCGCACAGTCAGTGACTTTGTGGCCGTCCGGATAATGGTCCATTTACCAGTCACAGGTTTCTGAAGCATTATGACAGAGTGTATACATATAATTATATATTATATAAAACTGTTATCATTGAACTTCTCTGAGTAATACTATATAGGCCATCCAAATATAGTAAATTTTCACCATATCAACATATACAAGTTGTTTCCCCTGTATTTTCAGAAGTCTGCAGTGTTTGTCTCCGTTGGCGAATGGTTATTGATATTTACAGGTATTTTTTTCTATTAAATTTAAAATGTAAAAAAAAAAAAAAAAAACATGAATTGCATCGTTTATAAAATAGGAAATTACTTGAGCAAGTTTATACCTGTACGGAGATGATAACCTTCCCGTCACTGTAATATCGAGACGCGAAACCAGGGAGGTATTGTAATTTTGAACCTGCAATTGAAGCGGAAAGAGTTATTTTTATTCGGTTTATCTTGAATTATTGCTCACAATCAGTAACACACTTGTTTCGTTGTTGTGAAGAATAATATATAACTGGTGCTAATACAATCCTCACCAAATAGAAATATTAATTAATTATTTTAAGCATAAGTAAGATTAAATACACACAAACACACACACATACAAATAAAAAGTAAACATTCAGCCGGGCTAGATCTTGATTCGCACCCTTGATCTCAATGTTACTGTCACTCTTAATAATTGAGCTACATTGTTAACGGAAGTGAGCTGGCTCTATAGTACGAATAGAAAGTACTGTTGAATTCTCAAGTGTTTTTCCTACTGTTTGGCTTGTATTTTTAAAGAGATACCGTTGCAAATTGGTTTTGCAAACCCACATAAACATACAGTATTTAAAGATTCACGGAACGAAGCGGTGAAAAAAACGATACCATTTTATTCCACCCTTCTTAGGTATGTCTTCCGTTTAAGCCGGGGAAGATCAGCTCGACACCCCTAGGGAGAGATAACCTCGCGCCGATTAGCACGTGTTCAATAGTGACGTGACGTCATAAAAAGTGAATGGCGATAGTCATACCCCCGTGTGTTTTTGTTTAAAACAGAGTACTGTTGTTGGAGTTGTGACTGAAACAATAGGATGGTAGAATAATAATCCTCCCATACTTTAAGGGTGTTACAGAGAAGTCCCTAACCCTTGAGTAAGGCAACCAAAACACATCACCCCGAGGGTTTTCTGTTACACACTTAAGGCAAGAGAGATGTTATTAATCATCCAACTGTTAAAAATGGTATATATTTCGACATTTATTAAAATCAAATATGTAGGTTAAATGTCCTCACAACAGCTGACATCGTATGGAAACGGTTGCCCTGGGAGACAATACCGAAACGAAATGTACGGAAAACAACAAGATACTATGCCTATCACAGTTTCAACAAGACTTATAATTCGAATTAAAAATCGATAAAACTGGGACAATATAGGAACATAGGTTCAACAAAACTTGGAAACACTTTAAAACGCACAAGGAGATTAAGACCAGATATTCTAGATGGTTAAGCATATTTTGCTTTATCTATGACACCAGCCATGGTCCCGTTTTCTTATCAATCACTCGGTTAATGATAACAAAACAACAAGGCACTCTAATTAGCATAATCAGATATTTTGAACTTCATATCACTCAAGGACAGCAGCTCATTGTTTGATTTTTATTATCCTCTTGCCTGCAACCAGTAGAAAAAAAAGAGGGGCGGCCCACTCACGTGTCGCTTCTCCAGATAACATGACAGAAGAGATTGGTATATCAGGTATGAAACCCATCAAACATTAAAACGTTTAAAAACAACGTATTTTAGAAGGTCAAGTTTTCTGCGTTAAACATAAAAAAAGGCATTTTTCATCCGCTGTGCCTATTTACGACAAAAAAATATGTCAAAATACGATCATAGTTTAACGTCATTGCAACGACACAAGACTGTATGAAACGAGTAGGAAATAAAAGAACAGATATACGAGCCCAAGTGCAAAAATGATGATATATGTAGCAGTCATCAACTCTGGCTTCGTCAATGTTCCCTTAGAATCCGTAAAACCATCCTCACATCAAACAAAACAAGTTATATGCAGAATACCTCCAAATGGTTGAAACAGATGTATAGTAAGCATTTCGGTCATTTCGGTGCCCCTTAAGCTATTAAGATCTTATAGAGGCTTAGAGTTGCGATGGTATTAGCCGATATCGCTTATTGGGTCTTAAACATTCCCTAAGCATCTCCAAAGCCTCCCTCCTATTAATCGCTTTATAACAAAATATGAAAAGGGACTCCGAAGAGTTTCAATTAAGGCTATTTTGGTTATTATTTCGTCTATTCGATGCTCTCTGACCATTTTCTCCCCAATACACAGAAAATGAATCGTCTAATGACCGAGAGGATTCAATACCTTAATTCTGAATTCGTCTCCACAAACAATATCCATCATACAGAAACACGGGGTTTCCTTTCGAATTCACTCCTTCATTGACATTTTGCCGCATTATTATTGATGTTTATTTCAGCTTTATTGGTTTTTCATATACAAATGTAGATATGATATTGTATTTTCTTTATTTCTCGACATTCCCATTTGCAGCAATCACAAAATCATCCTGCAAGGGTATTCTTAGAAATAGATAAGAATAAAAAAAAGCAAAAGTTTTGACAATGTTTCGATTTTTTTTACCATTAGGATCTTCAACTCTTATGTCATCAACTGAGGCTGCGCCATCGACCTCAATCTTGAGGAGGTTCATAGAAGCATCAACGATAACATAGCCTCGGTCACCGCCCGTGGAATGTATCTTAAAGGTCCGCAGCACAACACTGGATGACGGCATCTCCTTCTAAAATTTTGAATTACAATTTTCAATATCTCAGTAAAAAAAAAAAAAAGCCAGAAAATGCAGCAAAGCACTTGGACACCCATTTTTTTATGAAAATGACTACCTGACAATCCAACAACCTCGAGGGAACAGATCCTGCATACTTAAATTTATATAATTATAATTATTTCACAAATTGCGAATAGCATACATTTTGCATTTTGCACTATTGCTACTCAATATTTGTCACACAGCCTGCAAATGTACATTTTTAAACGCACGTTTAAATGTCAACGATTAGTTAATAACGTCATATTCGGAAAAAGAATAGCAGCGTTTATTACAAATATTGACAATGTGCCTCTGAATAACATATCAACCGTCTTTTGGGTAAAAGCGCCAATCGTAGCCGCCCATCCCTCTCCCCCTTGAATAATAGTTTTCACTTCTCAAGACTGTTACGAAGACACATTTTGCCACAACGCTGTTTTTTGGTTGTTATCACATATTTGTTTTATTCAAGTGAAAGTGAAAAAGTTACACTTTTTCGCGTCATGCCAAGAAAATATTGCTACATCAGAAAAGCGCGGGATTGTGAAGCGCATTTTTTTACGCCACGTTATCATGACTCACGCTTGACAACAATATAGAGCGCCATTTTTAATGGGTGTTACTGCAATTTTGCCGTTTGCTGATATTTTCTGGTAAGATTTCCTAAACAAAAATGATATAAATAGTGCAGTTATGAAAAAAAACAAGGTATGTTGTATAGGTGGAACACACAACTACTTAATCTTCCGTCGCTTCATCTAAACTTAAAACTGAAAAAAAAAATATAATGTACTGTTCAGATTGGACGACGAGTAACTAAGAGTGACGACTTCGCATTTAAAGATAACATATTGTGTATATCTGATATGTTTTATCAAATTGAAAATTCATAATATTTCACTAGTAAACTGTAATAATGACAGACATCGTAGGGTTTACTATCCTACTTTTAAAGACAGTATGCAGCCTAAATTTCCCAGAAGGCTTTCACGCATGGGAAACACCAGAAGTGAAAAAGTGTTAACAGATCAAACCCCGACGGCGCTTCGCGCCGCATAGGGGTTTGAAAAAAATAATGAAGCATCCTGATTATCAAAGGAAATATGCGATTATCCCCTGTTCATTCCTTTCCCTGCAAGTAAGGCGTAATAATTGTACCTGCTACCCCCTATTGCATGATCGTAAGAGGAGACTAAATTCGAGACCTTATTTCTTTTTGTTGGGCGTTCGCTCCTGTGAGGAAGACTTTGGGTTCTGTCCCCTGGCCGAGGCGTATCAAAGTCTTAAAAAAATGGTAGTTTCTACTCCTGCTTAACTCTCAGCAAATTAGGAATTGGACGGCTGGTTTGCCCATTGTCAGTATAATGTGACCGGGTGAGGAGTCCTGCTGGGTATCTTCGGCAGTATGTTTCAGTGAGCACTATCAAGTCGGCATCAGTTCCGCGCTATCACAAGGAGACAAACACAAACATATCGCAGCCTCCCAAAATACACACACATACACTACACGCATGCATCTTGCACACAGAGGAGGACGTCCTTAAAATGACCTTAGCTGTTAATAGGACGTTAAACAAAATAAAACAAACAAACAAACAAACCCCTGTTCAATCCTAGCCTTGATGTGTCTTGGCGGTTGCAGTGTTGTTGGTTTATTTTAGATTTTTTTAGCATTTGCAACAACTATGTACTGTAAAATAATTCGGTATACTTTATATTAACAGCAAATGCTTTTTTATGTTGTCATTTCTTGTGTAGGAAAACGTTTAAATGGTACTTACTTGCATAATTTTAGACAGAACAGCTCCTAATTCAGACTTCGTGGTTTCGTATACCTGACCTCCTGTGGCAGCAGCCATCTCGAAATAAACGTCGTGGATCGCACGCGCTACTCGTCCTGGTGTGGTGTCAGATAAAATAAGAATTAAAATGGTATTGATGCATTTCATCAATGAAAAACTGTATGCAACTACAACAATATTAACCAAATTAAAAGCAAAACAGTATAAAATACTTCACTCTCACAAAAACCGGGCGCCAAAACCAGGTGCCTCGACAGAGCATGTATATTGTATGCTGAGCATTCATTTTAGAATTTCAGGTACCAACTTGGTTAAGATAAAACTGAGATGTAAACACTTCACTAAGTCTCGTATATCTCATCAAAATCTAAAAGAAAATATGAACGGCATTGCCAGTAAAATTCAATGTGGGGTGGGGTGTGGGTTCACAACTTGAAAATATATAAAATGAGACCAGGATAGTGACATTATAGAGTACTTAATTAACTCACGCGTAGCCTGTCGTCGACGTCTGTTACATGATCCAGTCAGTACAGGGGTTATCTTAATATGCTTTGCTTTCGCTTTGGCAATTGCCTCACCCATCCTATCTCCGTCTGATGCATCAGCATCAGTGAACATATACAGATAGGATCCATTTTTAGTGAGGGATATCCCTAGAAGTGAAAAAAAAGAACATTTCACTAAATTGTCATCAATCTGTGAACTTATTAATTTTCGCGGAGATTTAGAATTCGTTGCGTTCGCAGATACTCTTTATCCATGTGTTCAATTTTCAATAATATCTTGACATGTATGTTGCTCTTGATAATTTATTTTGTTTTATTATCCAACATTTCAGAAGGATTTTGTTGGTTGCAGTACATTTTGTGGAATGTAAAAATGATTTTCGAAAAGCTTTACAGACCACCAGAAAGAAAAACAAACAACAGTTTTGATAAGAAGTATATAGAAATATATATCTTAAGAGAAAATGGATGGTTCAATAAAAAAATATATCGCTTTACAGAAATAGGAACAGCTATAATGTTATAAGTTAAATATTCATAAATAATTCTAACATGTCTGCGATGCAACGACGCTATTTTATCGGTAAGTAAACCAATATAATGATTATTACCATAAAATATGCTCCACGTAATAAAATAATTTCGTTTATGAAAAGTTAAGAAAAAAATGTCTGCATTATCCAGAGATTATAACATGATCAGCTGTTGGACAAAAGAAAACGAGGTATCGCGTGAAAGAAGTTTGCACTCGCAACATAATAGCCTAATTCAAATATATTTGAATGATCTCCGTCACGTTGTCTTATAGACACAGGCGTAGAAATGAAGGCACTATATATTTCAAGTGGGAGAACATATATTATCCAAAACAATATTGAATAATTAGGCTAGAAAATGTTAATTTGGCTTAGAGATCACCAGAAGAATTATTTAATCCGGTAAGATCAGACTAAGGTGAATATCTACCATAGCAATATATAAATAACTAAATCATAGCAAAAAGGAGACCAGTCACTTGAAGAACGACCGGCCGATGATTTTCCGCTTATTATAAATTATTTTAGGAACAGGGGCGAGAAAATGTATGAATGCAATGGAAATTATATCTTTTTTAGCTTTGATAAATGATTTCTGAAAAAGACATACGTCGCAGGACCTTTATGACAATATTTGCGACATTAAATCAATCTGTCTTTCTGAACAAATCATCTACCTGGCGAACGAAAGTGTAATGAACAGATGAAGTAAGATTTAACCGACAAAATACAGTAAACCTCTTTATAACGCCCTTAATTCAAAATGCTACTTCACCTAACGCCAATATAGTTCAAGGTCCGTATTTTTCTCTCCAATTCATTTAAAAAAAGTGTTCCCATCATATTTATCGACAAACCACTCTATCACGATTTTCCCCCCTTGAAAATGACAGTAAAAATAGGTTTTAGGGTGAAGAAGTACCTCTGAGTATTCCAGATATCGCATACTCCGGGCAATCTCCACCTCCGTCAGCAACAAGACTATGAAGCTTGTTAATGATATCATCTCCATTTGTGAATCTTTCCCCGGTTGTTTTGTTATCTGAAAATACATAAAATATACTTGACTAACAGTCAAAACAGTAAATCAAACATCTATACAGTAACGCAATCCTTATATACAGTAAAACAAACCTTTTACACAGTAAACAAACCCTCCATACAGTAAAACATACCTTCTATACAGTAAATCTAACCTTCTTTACAGTAAAACAAACCTTCTATACTGTAAAGCAAACCTTCCATAGAGTAAAACAAACGTTCTATACAGTAAAGAAACCATCTATACAGTTAAGCTAACCTTCTATGCAGTAAAACAAACCTTCTATACAGTAAAGCAAACCGTTCATACAGTAAAACAAATCCTCTATACAGTAAAGAAAACCTTCCATACAGTAAAACAAACCTTCTATACAGTAAAACTAGCCTTCTATAAAGTAAACTAAACTTCCATACAGTAAAACAAACCTACTATACAGTAATGAAACCATATATACAGTAAAACAAACCTTCTATGCAGTAAATCTAACCTTCTATACAGTAAAACAAACCTTCTATACAGAAAAGCAAACCTTCCATAGAGTAAAACAAACCTTCTATACAGTAAAGAAACCATCTATACAGTAAATCAAACATTCTTTAGAGTAAATCTAACCTTCTATAGAGTAAAACAAACCTTCTATACAGTAAAACAAACGTTATATACAGTAAATCTAGCCTTCTATACAGTAAAACAAACCTTCTATACGGTAAAGAAACCATCTATACAGTAAATCAAACGTTCTTTAGAGTAAATCTAACCTTCTATACAGTAAATCAAACCTTCTATACAGTAAAACAAACGTTCTATACAGTAAATCTAGCCTTCTATACAGTAAAACAAACCTTCTATACAGTAAAACATACCTTCCATACAGTAAAACAAACCTTTTATACAGTAACACAAACGTTTTATACAGTAAAACATACCTTGTTTACAGTAAAGCGAACCTTCAATACAGTAAAACATAAATTCTATACAGAAAATCTAACCTTCTATACAGTAAAACAAACCTTCTATACAGTAAAGCAAAACTTTCATACAGTAAAACAAACCTTCTATACAGTGAAGAAATCTTACATGCAGTAAATCTAACCTTCTAAACAGTAAAACAAACATTCCATACAGTAAATCTAGCCTTCTATACAGTAAAACAAACGTTCTATCAGTAAATCTAACCTTCTATACAGTAAAACAAACGTTCTATACAGTAAATCTAACCTTCTATAAAGTAAAACAAACGTTCTATACAGTAAATCTAGCCTTCTATCCAGTAAAACAAACGTTCTATACAGTAAATCTAACCTTCTAAACAGTAAAACAAACGTTCTATACAGTAAATCTAACCTTCTATAAAGTAAAACAAACGTTCTATACAGTAAATCTAACCTTCTATAAAGTAAAACAAACGTTCTATACAGTAAATCTAACCTTCTAAACAGTAAAACAAACATTCCATACAGTAAATCTAGCCTTCTTTACAGTAAAACAAACGTTCTATCAGTAAATCTAACCTTCTAAACAGTAAAACAAACGTTCTATACAGTAAAGCTAGCCTTCTATACAGTAAAACAAACCTTATATACAGTAAATCTACTATACAGTAAAACAAACCTTCTATACAGTAAATATAACCTTCTATACAGTAAATAACCTTCTAAACAGTAAAACAAACATTCCATACAGTAAATCTAACCTGCTATACAGTAAAACAAACCTTTTATACAGTAACACAAACGTTTTATACAGTAAAACATACCTTGTTTACAGTAAAGCGAACCTTCAATACAGTAAAACATAAATTCTATACAGAAAATCTAACCTTCTATACAGTAAAACAAACGTTTTATCCAGCAAATCTAAACTTCTATACATTAAAACAAACATTCCATACAGTAAATCTAGCCTTCTATACAGTAAATCAAACGTTCTATCAGTAAATCTAACCTTCTAAACAGTAAAACAAACGTTCTATACAGTAAAGCTAGCCTTCTATACAGTAAAACAAACCTTCTATACAGTAAAACATACCTTCCATACAGTAAAACAAACCTTTTATACAGTAACACAAACGTTTTATACAGTAAAACATACCTTGTTTACAGTAAAGCGAACCTTCAATACAGTAAAACATAAATTCTATACAGAAAATCTAACCTTCTATACAGTAAAACAAACGTTTTATCCAGCAAATCTAAACTTCTATACATTAAAACAAACATTCCATACAGTAAATCTAGCCTTCTATACAGTAAAACAACCGTTCTATACAGTAAATCTAACCTTCTATAAAGTAAAACAAACGTTCTATACAGTAAATCTAGCCTTCTATCCAGTAAAACAAACGTTCTATACAGTAAATCTAACCTCCTATACATTAAAACAAACGTACTATACAGTAAATCTAGCCTTCTATACAGTAAATCTAGCCTTCTATACAGTAAAACAACCGTTCTATACAGTAAATCTAACCTTCTATAAAGTAAAACAAACGTTCTATACAGTAAATCTAGCCTTCTATCCAGTAAAACAAACGTTCTATACAGTAAATCTAGACTTCTATACAGTAAAACAAACGTTCTATACAGTAATCTAACCTTCTATACAGTAAAACAAACGTTTTATCCAGCAAATCTAAACTTCTATACATTAAAACAAACATTCCATACAGTAAATCTAGCCTTCTATACAGTAAATCAAACGTTCTATCAGTAAATCTAACCTTCTAAACAGTAAAACAAACGTTCTATACAGTAAAGCTAGCCTTCTATACAGTAAAACAAACCTTATATACAGTAAATCTACTATACAGTAAAACAAACCTTCTATACAGTAAAACAAACCTTCTATACAGTAAATATAACCTTCTATACAGTAAATATAACCTTATTTACAATAAATATGACCTTCTATACAGGGTGTATCTGTAATGGACCACACCTAGTTATAGAAAAACAGCATTGCGGTTCACACATTATTGATAACACCACTTAGCAACCGTTAGATGATATCTTTTTCTTCCCTTAACTAAACCAATCGATCTAGTCCTGTCACCGTTATGGTAACACCTGAAAAGTATATGTTTGTTGCTGCATTTAACGTGATCAAGATATTTCACTATAAAGAGGTCATATGGAAAATTCATCAAAGTCTTCAAACCATTGAATACAAAAAAACATGTGTTTAACAGCAAAACTAAACATGCGTGATAAAATAGTCGTTTTGTTCGTTGGTTTTGGTTAATATGAATTAGAATGGGGATAACCTTATTATTTTGACATATGTGGCGGTATATCGTGATTATACCACGCGTCGCCAGTAAAACGGATATTTGCTACAATATAATCACGATATACTGCCGCAAATTTCAAAACACGGTATGGTTATCCCCATTCTAATCCATATCAACCAAAACCACCGAACGAAACGACGATTTTAAGATATGTTTGAGTGTTTTCTTCAGATTCTAGGTATCTCTTCTCAGAATTGGTGACGTCAGAAATATTCAAAGAGAGGCGAAATTACGTAGACCTTTCGGGGTCACGCTATTGTTCGTGACGTCATGTTTAATCAACTTCATGACGTTTAAGTGTCAGTCGGGGTCATCGGCGTCCTTAACAATCGTCATCCGGGCTTCGTATGAAATGGGAAATTTGTGGACGGTATATCGTGGTTTTACTGTCGCAAATTATTTTGATTGACCAATCAAATGCCGTGTTATATCTCAAATAAATTAGTATCCATGACGAACGTAACATACATTTAATTGTACCCTTAGCATTTTGTTATTGATAAATATGCCAAAAATGAAATGCATTCCACTATACAACTGTTTCGTCTTTCTACGATTTAAAGTAAATGGTAATAACATTTATACGAAGAGGGATGCAATCTTTACGATATGAAATTCGTGACTTTGCTGTATAATTTGCCTATTTTATCTTGTTATCAAAACTTTCAATTTGTACACTAAATATTGAGATTCGACCAAGGTTCACATTGCTGGTGTCGCCAATGAAGTAAAAAGACGTTTATCTCTTTGACACGCATGGTCTTATCATCATTGTTTCTCGCCAATGGTCTCAGTGAAAATATTTCATTTTATATGATTTGCCCTAAATTTCAGATTTGGAACTAAAATTGCGGTATAGTTTTAAAATTCATGAGCCAGCTGTCAGCAAAGTAATTCTATAGTTCTGACAAAGTGAGATTAAAAGGGGTTTACATATGATATCCGCATGATTCCATATTTTAACAACAGCAATTTGAGTTTATAATTTATAATTTTGCAATTTAAATACATCCATACCCCTCAATGCCATGTAATGAAATAATAAAATAAAATGTTTTAAACAATAAGTATGTAACAAGTTATAACAACGTAAATTAATCACTCTTGTTGGTCCGCATATTAGCGCACTGGGGTTCGTAGTGTTGGAGGAAACCGGAGTACCCGGAGAAAAACCCACGTCGTCGGGCGGGTGAACCCATACCTTTTCAATTCCTATCGCTTGAGGTATGCAATAATTATATTCTAGTATGATTTATAGTGATTACCAATAACATGATGATACACACCTGGGTCGTTAAAGGTGGCTAGTATGTAATCCGTTGGTTCATTTGGTGTTCCCTGAACCGCTGACACCAAGTTGATACAAGCGTCTCTAGCCGCCTTCATGTCATCGCTCATTGATCCACTCACGTCCATGACAATTGTTAAGGAACCACGTGATTCTTTCTCACGCGATTTGAGATCAAACAGATTTTTGAACTCGTCAACGGAAAGGTTGCTTAGAATACCTTTGCCTACACACACAAAAAAATATGTAAAAAATGTATCAAAATAGATTTTTTTTCACAAATAAGTAAAGATATAAATTTATAAAGAAACAGATGTAAAAACGCATCTTAACTTAAATTTTTACAATAAATATAAAACAACATAAAGATAGAAGTCAAAAAGGCATATATCCTTTACTTTTTACACCATCAATGTCCCATCAATCCTGTTGCAAAATTTCAACGACAACTGTGAAACTATGACTAAATGTGATTTTGTAATGTCCACCAGTGCTTCCTTGTGACGAAATTGCAAAGGTTTTGCCTGCCGATAAAAAGGGTATAGACACAGTACCGAATAGGTTACTGGTCTGGTTTATAGCTACTCCTCTTCCCCGTTCAGATCAGTAGTTGGTTAAACTGATGACGTAGCTGGTCACCCTACTCCTTGATTCTGTTTTGAGCTTTCCTGATGTCACATATATATTCGTAGACGCTAATGATATAACCACAGGTAGGTGTAAAACACAGAGAAAATACACATAAGTCAGTCTATAAATAAGATCTGAACGACATTCTACTTTATGCTGATACATTTGCATATACACGGACAAACGTCGTTCAATCCTTATATTTATTTTCTAAATATTTCGTTATTTATACTTAGATACAGTTATTCCTTTATATTTTTGTATTGAAGTATCTGTGATGTCAGTACAAACGAGATTCCGGATACAGCATGACGTTACTAAAATGTTTTCTTCTTACGGTTTTTAGTTGACAAGGGAGGAAAAGATTCAAAAGGACGCAAATGCACAGATTGCGTTCAAAGTTCTATGACCGCGATTTCTTCTGGTAATGATTATATAGGAACTTGCACTGAAAATGTTCAGAATATATCTGAAAAAAATGTGTCTTTCATATGTAGATATGGTGGCGTTTTATTTATGCGTACAATTTTGTTGAAACATGAAGATATTCTGACCACACATTCCACAGTGGAGGACAGAGTTCACAGAAACATGAAGTTATTCTGACCACACATTCCACAGTGGAGGACAGAGTTCACAGAAACATGAGGTTATTCTGACCACACATTCCACAGTGGAGGAAAGAGTTCACAGAAACATGAAGTTATTCTGACCACACATTCCACAGAAGAGGACAGAGTTCACAGAAACATGAGGATAGTCTGACCACACATTCCACAGTGGAGGACATAGTCCACAGAAACATGAGGATATTCTGACCACACATTCCACAGTGGAGGAGAGAGTCCACAGAAACATGAAATTAGTCTGACCACACATTCCACAGTGGAGGACACAGTTCACAGAAACATGAAGTTATTCTGACCACACATTCCACAGTGGAGGACACAGTTCATAGAAACATGAAGTTATTCTGACCACACATTCAACAGTGGAGGACAGAGTTCACAGAAACATGAGGTTATTCTGACCACACATTCCACAGTGGAGGACAGACTCCACAGAAACATGAAGATATTCTGACCACACATTCCACAGTGGAGGACAGAGATCACAGAAACATGAGGATATTCTGACCACACCTTCCACAGTGGAGGACAGAGTCCACAGAAACATGAAGATATTCTGACCACACATTCAACAGTGGAGGACACAGTTCACAGAAACATGAAGTTATTCTGACCACACATTCCACAGTGGAGGACAGAGTCCACAGATACATGAAGTTATTCTGACCACACATTCCACAGTGGAGAACAGAGTCCGCAGGAACATGCAGTTTTTCTGACCACACATTCCACAGTGGAGGACAGAATCCACAGAAACATGAAGTTATTCTGACCACACATTCCACAGTGGAGGACAGAGTCCACAGATACATGAAATTATTCTGACTACAAATTATAAAGTTTAGAGTAGATTTCCTTATCTCCCCTACCTGCTCGATGACTGACATGTTTTCCCGAGATAATGCCCACGTCAAACAATATCATAATCGAAAAATATTCTTCATACGGTTACCATTTTGATACAAGTATTCAGTTGTTGCTCGGATCGCGGCTACAACAGCATCCGGGTGGATATCTGCGTGTGGTGTGAGATTGGCGTCAGTAGTGTCTTTCCCGATTCCACCAATAGCTAGTCTGGTATTGTCAGTATTCCAGTCATGTGCGCATTTTAATCCCGTATTCACTGTAGAAAAAAAACACATACATAGGTATTATTCGGAATAAGAACCATCAGTTTGGCATGAATAATAAAAGGCTAAGTTTGTTTTGGACACAAAAAGAAATTAAAAAATAAAAGCTTACGAAAACGTGTGTTTCTTTTGCCAAGCAAAGAGTTCAAATGACCGGTGTTTGGACTCTTAACAGAAGACAAAAAAGAAACCATACTCGGTTATGCAAAGGTGATAGGGCTAAATGTTCAATTATAACTGCGTCCTTACTTTGTATCTATTGATGAGTACCCTAGCACTTTAAGGAATAAAATGCTCTTTCGAAATGATTTCATAATATTGCTTTTTTTTTTGTTTCAATTCTGTCTTCATGAACACATATCGGTTCTGGTTTACATCAATTCAGATAGGTCTCACAATATAAAATATATGATTAAATTTAAAAAAAAACATAGATAAAAAAAAAAATCTTGGAGATTTTTTTGTCAAAGAAAGGTCTTGCTTACCCACTAATATTGACAAATATTTATTATTCTTAGAAAAATATATTGAAATCATTTGTGGAGGTACTTTTAACTGTTTTTCATCTGGAAAGGATTACCTCTCTTGCAAACCTATATTGACAACTTGTTATGTGCTTACAATGTGGTATCTTGACATCCTGCTCTGGTCTGAAGCCACTGGTTAAGGAGTTTGTCACCATGTTGCCTAAACAGTCGTACCTGGGCAAGATAGAGCACGTGCTAGATGTATATTATTTTCAAGAGTGTATACGTATACGTCATCAAAGATAACTACTTAGTCATCGAGATTCATCCTCAATTATCTAGGGGTTACACTCACATTCGCTCTCTGCACCCTTGAAATATGTCATAGCAAAAACGAAGCCACGTGCCTAGCTATGTCATTGGTCCCAAGTAAAATCACTTACCAATTACTAGACTCAGTGTGCGCCATCTTGTGGCTGAGACAGAAGACTACTTTGATCCTTTGATGTACATCAAATAATCTGTCGATCGCGTAACGGTAAAATTGACCGGCTTTGAAGTCGGGTGTCGCTCCTCTCTCATTTTCCAAAGACAGGTATCAGTAGGGTTACATCATATAATGACAAAAGCACAACATATAGCGAACGTGTACCATATAAGATAGCTCTGACGTTCCATACGTGTACATCCAATTTCACTATGACATAGTACAGGGGTGTAGAGAGTGAACGTGTGCGTAATCCCTGGAGTATCGAGGGTATCCGAGAGTGATCCTCTCGAGTAACGTAACATTTCTGTAGTAATTTGTTGAAATTTACATAGATCAGTAAAAAATGAATACTCTGCATAAAAAATCAAGAAAATAAGCAACCTAGTCACCGCATAAAGATCCACTCAAGTTACGTGACATTTTTCTGGAAATCTGTTGAACTTGTCTGCCATTATTGGCATGTCTTTGATTATATATTTTTTTTAAAATCCAAAAGCACTATCTTGAACAAACTTTAATTTGTCCCGAAGATGTGTAATCCATCAACTACAATTTTCTTACCATATTAAATCTGCAATTGCATTATGCTTTTCAGTTTTCAAGAGAAAATGAATATAGAGAAACATGAAATAATTGTCTGAATATTTAATTTTGTTTTAACGAATGCAAGTTTCGGATTACGTTAAGCTGCAAATACTGTTCATTTTGAAGTTTTAACATGTGACGTATGTGACTGGATGTCACATTCCTGTAAACAAAATCATAGCTTACTTGACATTTGGATCACAGTTGCTGCAGGTCGCCTCCCAGGCCTTCACTATCTTTGGCAGACTGGTTCCGTCACCACCTACATTTAACAGTGACAAAACATTTAAAGATGGAGGTAGAGATTCATAAAAATATGAAGCTATTAAGTCGCGTAATATGTAATGGAGAAGGTTCCTTAAAATAGTTGACATCAAACCACTTGCGATCCTCGATACTCCAGGGGTAACGCTAACTGTCGCTCTCTGCACCCCTGGAATATGTCTTAGCAAAATTGAAGGCACGCTGCTATTGTACCTATTCGATTGGTCGCAGGTAAAAAAGATCAATCACTAGGCTGATATATGTCCTTTGAATAATATAAAGGAGCATCACCCGACTTCAAAGCCAATACATTTTATTGTTATTCGACAGTGAGATTCGGTTGATGTACATCAAATGATCAAACCAGTCTTCTTGTCTCATCCACTAGGTGGTGCACGCTAAACCTTCAATTTGGCTGTGACATATTTCAAGGGTGCAGAGAGCGTAATTATAACCCCTGGAGTTTCGAGGATAACAACTGGCTCATGGTTAATAGGTTACAAACGAAAACAATAAATCTACATTTAATCATGTATATATGGATAATAGTAATTCGTTTGAGTGCTATCTAGACAATAGGATTTCAGTTCTATATTCGCCCAACGGCTGGTCATCTTTCATGTAAAACGAAAACACGTGCGTCTTCTTATCTCCATATTTGTTTGTATTCCCCCATCTTTATGAACATGATTGTTAGTTGTCGATTCTAAATTTGAAATAGGACGGATTAACTATCCGGATTAAAGTAAATCATTGGTAAAGGGGACATAACTCTTAGTATCAAATTACATAATGAACGTTATATCAAGCTCACCATCAATGCTGTGTTGTTTATTATATAACAGTTCTGTCTTCTATAGATTTAAGGTTATAGGATTTTGTCACCATTTCGTAGTAGAATTTCTTCAAATTTGGAGTTATATTGCTTTGAAGTAAAGAAAATGTTCTGCCACAAAAAAATATGTATCTTTCTTGAAAAACTTCACAGTAGTGAAATAGGTAGCCGGCACAGAACAATGGACACATGTGACTCGTTGATAACAAACAACTGAATTAATGCCTGGGTTGCTTTGAAATACTTTAATATTGAGAAAACACTGTTCTTTCAATAATAAACATACATTATTCATCAGTTTAATATTAAACATTAGAATATGCGGAAATTGTGATACTGTCTCCCTACATTGAAATTTCAACTAGGGATGTACTTCCTATTTCCGTTTATCAATACACTCCTATGATCTTAAGCCTTGAACTGTTTTGTGCGGCTTTTATGAAATGTTTGAATCATAAATGCTATACAAAAACAGTTAAATGCTTATATTTACGTTTTCTCCACCTTTCACATTTTTTTCACCTTACAAATCATCTTTAAAATCTAAAATCCCCACTTGAACGAAAATCTGAAAAAATGTGTTCAACAAATGGTACAACGTATTGTCGCCTGCTAAATGGCTAAGAATTGTGTCTGGTGGTGCATGTCAATTAAAGTCCAATTTACGACACATGTTTCAAGTGGGTTATCTAGTGACAATGCCATGTTAACGTAAATATATAGCACATTTAACGTACTTCTGTATGATAAAGTCCAAGCAAAAATAAACAAAGAAAATGTATCGTGTTTCTTCACTGAACAAAGATCCATGACCCACTACAAAGGTTTGATAACTATAATTATTTTTATTTATTTGTATTTATTATGTGTGTACACCGCCCCCCCCCCCCCCCCCCCCCCCATTTATTTTACCGTATGTATTGTGGAGAAGACTTAATTAAGTTTTAAAAACTTGTTGTCCAATTCGTTTGTATATTTGTACAATAAAATATGCTTAATCTAAAACCCACTACAAGCAAAATACTTCAGAAATTTTTGTTTACCGTACATACAGTGATCTCCCCTTAATTACCAGTTGCCTATATCTGTAGCTCGGCTGGACCAGAGTACAACCTCTGCTCGGTTGGTTAAAACAACTTTATAATGTTTGGATGTCCAGAGTTCGAATTTTGGTCTTTTTTGCACATTTTGAAATCAGAACACTTGTAGATTTTGTTTACAAGTCTTTGGTGGTTTCACATAAATGATTTATCAAAGCTGTTTCGTCCAGGGAAGCTTTTATTTATCAATGAATAATTTATTTGTTTTTAATGGTGCAAGGATCCTTAATGAATATAAATTAAACTAGCTAACCAAACACTGTGTTCCTAAACTCTTTCACTCCTACCTATTAAAACTGGACTTGCCAAGTCCTTTATTTAGGAAGGCATCACATGTGAATTTAGGGGTTAATGGGTTAATAAAGATTAACTAAACTAGCTTACCAAAAGCTGTGCTCCTTAACTCTTTCACCCCTACCTATTAAAACTGGACTTGCCCAGTCCTTTATTCAGGAGGGTATCAAATATGAATTTAGGGGTTAATGGGTTGATAAAGATTGAATAAACTACCTTACCAAACGCTGTGATCCTTAACTCTTTAACCCCTATTTATTAAAACTGGACTCGCCCAGTCTTTTATTAGGTAGGGTATTACATATGAAGTTAGGGGTTAATGGATTAATGAATAGTTAATAAACTAGCTTACCAAACGCTGGACACACCACGTCCCCATTCATCTCCGCCCAGTTCGTACTGCTGTAAAACGACTGGATGACTAGCAGAGCTTTAGCCAGATTATCGAACGTGCTTTCCTGTGCAGCTGTGTCGTATGGCTCAAGTAACGTCATCACGCGTGTTTGTCCCGACAACTTCTTCAGAAGGTTGAACGCTGGAACCAAAGCCGTTACAACATAATGCTTTTCAAAAAACGAAACTCTGACAAAATAGGTCAGAACTAAAAACGCATGCAATGAACTTTGAGCGAAAATGGCTGACGAAGCGGACACGATTTTCTGAAACTTAATTTTGCCATAACTTATGTAATCAAAATTACTGATTTTGATAATTAACCCATACATGATTTATGACTTTGTTTATTGTGTATTCTGTTGTTTTTGCAATTCATATAAATAATTGGCCGCTGGATTCATTGACGAATCGTTGAAGGTCTGAACAGCTGTATGGTGCAGTGTACTTAATGTTTAGCATACTGCATCTACTGCTAAATGAATGCATTCACTTTGTTCTGATTTACCCTCATCTGTTAAAGTGTCACCTACCGTCTTACAAACAAAGTCACATAATGAACATTCACACTTTAGAAATACGGATATAAGATATTAAGATAAATTTAAAAACAGCATTATTAAAAATGTATATTTTTACTTCCCTACTTATTTCTCTATAATGTATTTTGTCAGTTCAACATATAGCATTAAACAGGATGTTAAGTTACTCAGAGCATGGATGGGCGGGGGTGGGGGGATGGGGGTAAGGGCAACATTTACGAATATGCGACGTCAGCGACATCTTTTCATAATTCATGCAAGTGCAAATGTTTATTACATAACTAAATAATGTTACTGTGTTATACGGCAATGTCATAAATATGGTAAAACACACGTGTAATGAAACCCAAAGGTGCTGTGATTCGTCAGAATCGTGGAAACATATTCGTTTTTAACTGCATTGAATTAGAGCATATCATTAAAATCCAAATGTGCTTCTTAATTCAAAACACTCAACATAATAAATCACAACAAATAATACTAATATTCAATATTGTATGCCGTATAAGCTCCCAGTTTTATCTATATGTTTGTCGGGTGGCGCATTCGATAGTGCGATTGCCTTTCACCAAGGCGGCCAGGATCTGACTCCCCAATCAAACGCGGAAAGGATTGTGGTCATCTAACCAACCACGTGGGGTTTTCCTGGTACTCCCGTGTCCTCCCACAGGAAAAACCCCTCCCTCCCCTTTCGTCTGCATGTCAAAACGTATTGATAGGGATAAACTGTTAGTTGAGAAACCAGTAAATGAACTATACGCTGTCATCCTTGTAATACCTCATTGTATTCGCTTTCTTGATTAGTATTTGGTTATTAATAAGCAAACTACATATATATGCTTTATGTGCTGTTTTTAAAAAGTTTTTCCTTTTCCCCCCTTTTTATAGGATACTAGTAGTTGTTGTCCGTGTGTAACCGGTCGTGGTTCAACGGTTCTCTTCCACATATTGATCAATACATCCTTGAATTACTATTGACTGTATTCCTAGGTCGAAAGAGATTGTTCATGGGGAGGGGGGGTCTTGATACTAAGGGAGACAACCCGTACAGTTTATGTGGACGTAGTGTAGTAGAGTAAATATTGTGATATGTGGCCAAATAAGGACTGTAACGATATACGTTAACCTGACGATGCGATACGTATCACGATACTTGGTCACGATACGTTACGTATGAACAAGTATAGGAATACGTCCACACAGGCTGAAATATTGTAGAGATGTGTGTGCAGTTTTACAAATGCGCGACTCACTGCGCAGCCGCACACTGACCACTGACTGACCACTGCAGAGAGTTTTAAACATAAAGTAATCACTGACCCCTGTCGGACAGGTAAACATGTAATCTAAAAATAGACCACTGTCATATCTATATATAGATATTTAAGTATGACGAGTGTTTTTATACTATCTATAGATATTTAAGTATGACGAGTGTTTTTATACAAGTTGCACATTATAAATATTGATAAAATTAATATAAAAAAGAGCAATACCTCGTCATTAAAATAATTACACAGTTTCATGTGTACACGAGAAAAAAAAATATGTACATGTAAATCAAACACAGATATTTTCCTTCGGTAACCATGATTTACCTCGGGAAAACAAATATATGTATATTGAGATAAATGTATTATGTTTTATCCATAGGTATTGTAAATTATTACTAGTTAATTTGCATCATTTGTATGTGTGCCACTTTGGTGTGTGAATGAGTAAATAGCAAAGCTAATTCTATAAATATACATTGGTAGATAAATGCGGTGAATTCATCGTATGACCTTGACCTTTCTGACGTCATAGTGGAATGTCTGCCATACCATGCACCAACAGTTGTCGAGGATTGAGTGTTGTGTAACATTACAAAGTACCGGTCTGCTTAGTTCAGTGAATTTCCTCTTATCTGATACGCATGCGCGATATGATAACCTCCTACACACACACACAGTAAGTCTATGTGCTAGTGCTGAATGACTACTGTATCAACATGTGCTGAAGTTACAACGTTATTTATACTGGTGACACCTGTAGTAGTGTGAAGATAAATATAAAAAAAAAACTTACTAGAAACTTCTGTTTATGTAATAAAAATAAACCGAAATAATCTAGAAATTAAATTATTTCAATAAAGCAATTAAAAAAAAATAAGTTTTGCAGTTTTGAAGCGTCGAACCGATTTTAAATGCAATTGATATTGCTAATTTAAAGATTGTCTTTCTTCTCTTTATTCTGTTGCAATCTAGATTGCATGCATTAGCTAAGGATGAAAGCATCAGGACTCAAATTAGCTGGCTGTGAAATAATGGCGGAAGTCGTTAACTTTAAAACGTGACACCCGTGGGATGGAAGTTGAAGGACCTATTAAACAATGTATGGTTGTCAGTTTTCCTCAACGTTTGTCAATACAGTACAAAGCATTGTCAGCATACCTTTAAAAATGTGTCAAGATGCAAGAGGGCCTAACTTGACTTGTTGTTGTCAAGAGAACCTACATGTCATGCGGTAAATATTATAAGTGGACGAAAAGATAATAATACAAAAATAGTTTTACAGAAAATATGCCATGTATTTCAATGCAACTTTGATATCGCTGTACATTTGTGTTCACATAGTGAAAAAAAAGACTGACATACACTTTACTTAGAAATGCACACATAAGTAAAAGCTGTTAAACTAAATAACAGTGTTATATGATACGGGATGTAATGACAGCGAGAAAAGGCGCCAGTGTGTCAGTGTGACGTAAGAGCGCGGAATATGTATATATAAATATTTCAAGATACAAATTAAAACACTATTTTTCAGGATATGTAATTTTCTGTCAACATTCTTAAGTCAAAGAATGCATGTAAAATATATAAATAGAACGGGTATGTTTTACCTCAGTCGTCTATTTCAGGACATGTACTAAACTGTCTTCATATTTTACGACACAGTCTGAACAGATTTCTTTAGTTTACGATATGGTCTGAACTGTTTTCTGTATTTTTCGACATGACCTGGTCATATTTCTTTATGTTTCGATGTAACAATGTGAAAATATTGATGTTTTGATAAAGGCTGTGATAAAATGTTTTTAAATTAAATTAATTGTTGCGCTGCGTATAACGTGCTGTTCACGTATACATGTGCTGTGTACGATCACTGTGCCGTCTACCTGTGTTGTTTTTGTACACGTGAGTATGTTGTCACATGTCACTTGTCTTACCTTGTTACGTCCATATAAGGTAATTGTTCTAAATATAGGTGTTACCTCGTTTTCGTTAGTGGTCAGTCCAGTTGTCTTTGTAACATGTTTTGGCGCGGTTTTTAGTATTCGTTCATAGACAGAGCTAAAGGGTGGATGTAATTTATATCCAGAAGTTTGAGTATTGAGGTCTTTCTCTAGATCTGGTATGTACATATATAGATGTGACAAAGTCTTCTTCTGTAATTGGTTTATGTTAAATTATTATATTAATGAGATTTTGGATAAAGTAGCATTAATTATATTGTGAAATTGTACTTTTTAGAAAATTAACAGAATCTTTATCTTACGTACATGTATAATTAATCGATACATAGATAGCTCTTTTTAAAGTAATGTATATATGTTTTTATCAACATGATGTAAATTGAGATTTACATGTCTCTTTTACAGAGATGATAGTTTTCGATTGCGAACGCGCGTATACAGATCTTCATTCGTGTAAACCCCCGACCCATAGTTGGGGTAGGTATTTTAATATCGTATGTGATAATGTAAACAAGCGATAATTGATGAGGATAATTGTATTCAATATAATTATGTATAAGTAATTTGTGTAAGTAATTTCAACTATTGATTATGATGAAGTGAGTCATTGTAAAGTTATTCCTATTTGTGAATAACCTATTGTGTGTGAACGGATCAAATATGTATGCACCGAATGTACATGTTAGGAATTATATATATATATGTGAGCGCTGTGTTTCATTATGTAATCAATTGTATTGTGTCTTTGTAGGTTTTTTTGATTATGTTCCACATATTGTGGGAATAAACCGGTAAACAAGAAATCTGCCTCGACCTTGACTTTTCATTCAACTTTACATTGAGCCAAGGGATATAACTCTCCAAGCTGACCCTATATTCCGGATTAGCGAGACCGGCTCGGAACAGAGACTAGAATTACCCTTTTCATGATCAGTGGAAGTTGCTTCGCAGGTGGAAGAGAAACACATGTCAAGCGCTCGATATGGATGTGTTTTTATGTATTTTCATGGAGTGTGGTGATGTTCGTCAGTAATTACCAACTTGGAAAAAAGAAGGAACATTACCAGTAACCAGGTATATATGTGATACTTGTCATCTAACATTATGCCGATGGCCTGGCGGTTTTGTATTGATGTTTGACTGTTACCTGTTGATCGTGACCATCGTTAGTTTAGCCATGCGATGTGGTTCAGCGGACAATCACAGTGTCACGCTAGGATATAGTGACTTAACGTTTGCGGAAGCAGTGAACTCTGAATTTATTCTTTTGTGCTGATTTAAAAGACTGACATTTTGTTCTTAAAATACAATTCTATTTTTTGTTTCAAACAATTTAAATAATATTAGAATTGAATTGATTATACTGGTTTAAATGTTAACTGTGTAATATTATCGAAGCATGATTTTGTAAGTGTCGTATTTTCGTGACTTTTTGTGCGTCGTAACTTCCGGTGTGTGTAGTAAACATCCGGTACACGTGTGTTTGATATTATATGTCAACAAAGGTGATCAGCTGTGTAAGGTTGACTATATTTTTGTTTCTACATATTTGCACATGGGTAATATATTTTGAAAGGGCTTTGTCACATATTTGAGTACATTTTTCTATTATTATTAGGTTTGCAAAAGACTTTCCAAAAAATGTTTTGGGGGGATATTTGAAATTCATTCAGACATATTTTTTTTCTTTATCAAACAGGTAAGATTGATTTTTTTTTTCTTACCCATATAATTTTCATTGAGGTATATATATATTTTGTGAACTTCTCTGATATAGTAGTGACTAGATAGCATTGGGACTTATATATATATATATAGGTATAGTTAGCATAGCTTGATACAAAGAGGGATCATATTGGTTTGTGTTCTGGTGTTATATGTCTGATGTTGTATGTTTTGTGTTTATTTATGTGGTGATTTGCAGCTTTTCGTGTATTTTTTGCCTGCTGACTCGGCGATATTCATCAATTTTCTGCGCAATGATGCTGAGCATATATGGCATATTACCTTTAGCAGGATACTGAGTGTATCTGAACTGTTTTCTATATTGTACAACATTAACTTAACTGTCTTCTAAATTTTACGACATGGACTGAACTGTTTTCTATATTTTAAGACACGAACTAAACTATTTTCTTTATTTTACGACATGGACTGAACTGATTTCTTTATTTTACGACATGATCTGAACTATTTTCTTTATTTTACAACATGGTCTGAACTGTTTTCTATATTTTACGACAAGATCTGAACAGATTTCTTTATTTCAGGACATGATCTGAACTATCCTCTATTTTGTATGACAAGATCGTAACTGTTTTTCTATATTTTCGACAACGTCTGAGTGACATTACTTTTTTTTACGACGTCGACCTACCGTTTACTACATTTTACAACAGACTAACTATCAAGCCTTTTTACGACAACGATTTACTGTCCTCAGTATTTACATTAACTACCTGTCTTCTATACTTTACATCACCTGACTGCCATCTACATTTTACGACATTGCCTAACTGTCTTCAATATTTCACTAAATCGACTAACTGTCATTGATATTTTACGACATCGACTGTCATCAATATTTCATTTAATTGACTAACAGACTTCAATATTTTACGACACTGACTAACTGGAATCAATATTTTACGACATCGACTAAATGTTTTCAATATTTTACGACATCGACTAAATGTTTTCAATATTTTACGACACTTACTAACTGTCTTAAATATTTTACGACATTGAATAACTGTTAACAATATTTTACAACAGACTTACTATCATCTTTACGACACCGACTTACTCTCATCTATATTTTACGACATCTACTTACCGTCTTCTATACGTTCCCCATTGACAGTGTACTTTGCAATCAACTTCACATCATTCTGCACTGTATTCATTCGCGCCGACAAATCCCGCATTTTCTGATTAAATTTTTCCTGACTGTCAGTATCTAAACATGAAAAAACGTTAAGATATTGTATTGTTTTGAAATATATAAATTCTATATGAAATCAAAATTACCAAAATATATGTTTAAGTTATTCCGTGTTCCGTGTTTCAAGTCCGACATTTTTACTATGTAAGTAGAGACCAGTGGCGGATTATGAGTTTTCTGGGGCTTCAGCCTCCAGCCCCCCCCCCCGAACCTGTTTCCTGAATTTTCCACCACATGGAACCCCCCCTGGAAATTTGGAAACCCCTCTAGATAGGTCTCTGGATCCAACACTGGAGACACACATAATCTTTCGCTTACCGTGCATAGCCCATCAGTCGAAGATAATCCTGTCATATAGTAAACGTATATAACATGTATATTCTTGCTTGTGTCATATCATAATACAGGTGATATTTTCGTAAATACAGCTTAATATTATCATCATCATGTTTAAAATGATAGATTCCGAGTCGTTTTTTATCAGTTTCAAAAATTTAAGTCACTATATCAACACCAATTTTTTTTTTTTTTTTTTTTCTTCAAGTCAATGGATTGTTGCCTGGATTGGTTGAACACTTGTTAAAAAGATATACTTTTCGTGAGTTGTTATTCTTTTTAGGATAATAAATTGGAAGTTTAAATCAATATGTTATCTTTTCATTGCATATAACTATGTCAATTATAAAAAGGTCCTTGTTGATCGCTTGAGACAAGTTTGCAATATAAAAAAAATAATCATAACTAACCTGAACCAAAATATTTAGCCAACACTCTATCTGGATCTGAGTACGACCCCTCAACAAGTCCGTTGTCTGTCAAAAAATTGGCCGCCGCTTTCTTGACTCCATCTCTTGTGATTTGGACGTGGCTATAGGTATCTGGCGGTGTGGTCGTAGTTAGGGTAGGTAAAAAACACCAAACGTGGACAGCATTGGTCAACAAGGTCACTGCCAATGTCCACTTATATTGTAGAAAATCCATCCTGAAAGGCACGGCACAAATAGTCAAAAGTAAAAATAGACACACAAAAAAGGATTATATATATGCACTGGTTGCTTCAAATTCCTTTGAACTAGAAACCCTTTTATTTTTTTATAACAATTTATGCATTTTATTTGTTTCAACAGATAGTTAAACAAACACATACATGAAAAACTTTACGACAGAGTCATACCACAAGAAAATCATACATAATCAAATTAATAAAGCCTGCGGAACATAGGAAACACTTACACAGATATGACACAAGACCTACTCTTACTTGTGTATACATACAACAATTAAGGTTGTAATATAGACATTCATTTTTGACACTTAACGAACTTCCTTGTCGATTAAGTACACAGCGTGTGTCTGAAATATGAAGGGCACTTATACCTGATTAATATTTACTTTGATATCGTATTTCAACATCATTCTTGAGGAGGCTCCATACTTTCGAAATAAACAAGCAAAAATTCGTGTAAACTTTCGTATAATATTTTATTTATCGCAAAATATATAAAACGTGTTACACTGTGTGAAATTGTACTGATACAAGTGATTATCTACGAGCTAAAATCAAACTGGACGCCAAGATTCATACATAAAGAGTGGGAAATTGAACAAAATATACAAGGTGGCTTTATAATTAATTATTTTTTCATTTTACAATCACTTTGATTCTGGTGAGAGATGTCTTCCTTGAAAAAAATCGGAACTTTTTACAAGACAGTTATCTTTTTTTTACATATATCAAAAAGTGATGGAAATAAATTAAAATTGTGATATCAAAATTGTCAATATATTGTCCTTTTATCGAGCCAAATTACTCTCAGTCATGTACACTTTGGACATCATTCCACGGCCCGCTAACGCACGGTATATTGTCATGTACCGTACATATGTGACCAGAGGCTATAACATGGTATGTCGTTCTCACGTGCACTCACACATGCATTTCCATCTTGTCTCATGTTAGTATCTTCCCGTGAGTCAGTGTATGTCTTTGTATTGGAAGCTTTATTCCTGAAGTAGATGTAAGTGTGATTACACATTTCCCAACAAAATCTTGATATTGCGTGTTGACATATCATCGTCACGCACGTGTACGATTGTTTACCAGGTGTTACTATAATTTACACTACGGTATTGAAATGCCCGATACGTAATACGAAAATGACGACAAGGTGTACATGCACTTTTCGTTCGAGATAATTGAGTCCGAGCTGTACTTTTTCCGGTGGTACGTCACGAAAATGGACGCTGATGACGATGTGTGGAGCCACCTTAAGTAGCTTATATGTTTCAATATGGTTTTATTTGACGCTATGTGTGGTAACATAGAACTCGCACCCTTACATGTGAAAAAAATATACAAGCACATGTGTGTTATGCAAATAAATGCCAAAAAATATACAGTCGTACTTCGATATGATTGTATATTCTGCTAAATTATTTTTTCACTGACTCAATAATGTATCATGAAGGCAACAAACTAGGTCGGCGAGGAGGACGGACAACTGGGTCAAAAGATGGCGCCGGGAACTACGGCTTTCCTCCATCACCAAAACATGGCACGTCCTTAAATGACCATAGCTGTTTAAAGGACGTAAAACACAAACCAAACCTAGCATTGCACAACGGTTATATAACACAACCAGTTATACAACATATACATTATGAAGCACATGAGTTGGATTATCATTTTGATGTAGCAAATGTAAACCCCGTTTGATAACATTGGTAAAGTGTATGCTTTGCCACGTTCTGGTTATAATAATAATAATTCGGGGTTCTTGTATACCGCTTTATCACAACCTAGTTCGTAGGTCGTCGCAAAGCGGTTCTCAAATTATTATCCGTGGTTATAGGGCTTTTGCAACCAGCCAATATTTTTCTCAACTGTCTGGGGAGCATATAGCCGGTGCTGCCATTTCGGCGATCACAGCTAGCATTCAACAATTCTAACATTGCCCAACCACGTACGCATTTACAGCTGAGTAGACTGGAAAATGTGGTGTAAAGTATCTTGCTCAAAGATACAACGCAGCACCGTATCGTGACTCAAACCGGCAACCCTTCAGTCACGAGCCCGGCGTCGTACCTCTTGAATCCCGTGCCACCAAGGTTCAGAGCCCTACAGTTGTTCAGTATGTTAGCACGATGGAGCGAAGCAGCACCATCTGTGTAAAGTGTGACCACTGTTTTATTTTTAAACAGCTTATAAACAGGATATCTCGAGTTACGCCATCCTCGATACTCCAGGGGTTACGCTAACTTTCGCTCTCTGTACCCCTGGAATCATCCTCGATACTCCAGGGCTTATTCTAACTTTCGCTCTCTGTACCCCTGGAATAATCCTCGATACTCCAGGGGTAACGCTAGCTTTCGCTCTCTGTACCCCTGGAATCATCCTCGATACTCCCGGGCTTATGCTAACTTTCGCTCTCTGTACCCCTGGAATAAGGTTGCACTATGGTTACCCGGATGTTGCAACCGGATGTGGTACATTTTGGGTGTAATTTAATTGCTCAATCTTTTGAGCCAGTTTTTCGTTCTCCTCTCCGACAATGTAGTTTGGTATCCTTATTATTGCCTTCATGAGTTAAGATACATTATGGATTTCAGTGAAAAAAAATGTTTAGCAGAATATACAACCATATCGAAGCACGACTGTATATTTGCATAACAGACATGTGCTTGTATTTTTTTTCACATGTAAGTGTGCGAGTACTATGTTACCACACAACATAGCGTCAAATAAAACCATATTGAAACATATAAGCTTCTTAAGAATCCCTATACAACGGACAAAAACTGGAGCTAAATATCAGAAACTGTTTTTCTTGAATTAACATAGAGCTTTGATGAACCATTTCTTAAAGGAACGAATACCTTGCGGGACTAATATAAAAAAAATATACAGATGAAACAAAATATCATCATAATGAGTGTTGTGCGTGTTACAAAAACCAGCGGGACTAGCCTGGGATTCGAACCCTGGACCTTATATTGTTATATTATGGTTGTAACCGATTGAGCAACAGACGTGTCCTGGCCTAAATCTTCATTTATTTTACAACAATTTTTCACATATGCTAATCACTCTTGTTGGCCCCGATGATAGAGCGCTTGTGGTCTTATTGTTGGAGGAAAACAGAGTTCCCGGACAAAAACCACGTGGTCGGGCAGGTGACTCCATACCTTCGGGGAATCGAACCTCGCCTGCCTTGATACAAGACAATCGCGCTATTCACTGCACTATCAGACCACCCTTAATGTTCTACAGTTACATCCTAACAGAAGTTGAGGGGAGTTAACTGTGTATAGGGAAAACGGCAGTGCAACGAGACAGGGATCCCTCAATATTGAACTCTGTTGATATGACATTAACTATATATGAATGCCATATCTTTGCAGTAAAACATCATCATGCGCTTGCTCGAGGTTGATGAACGAGTGAACACGCCCCAGTGGTACATGTATACCGCAAAGCATGAAAAGCTACAGATGTAGTTTTAACAGTAAGGCAGTGTTTCTGCCTGACATCCCTTATCTGCTACACTATTCCGACCCCTCCAGGGAGTCTTGTCCCGATACATGGCCCGGGGAACCCCGTGAGTCTTCCCTGTGTACCATTACACCTTCCCTGGCCACCAGAAACAGACTTTGCATATGGTTCCACAGGGCCACTCTACGCTGCCATTAAATGTTACAAGCACGTGCGGGCAGGCACTTACAAGGACTCGCACAACTTAATCACCCAGTCGGCACTTGTTTCGTACGATTGTAATCGCTACATAAAATGTGTTCCGGTTAAATACAGTGTCTCTGGTAAATTCAAATGTATTTGTTGTTGACATATTTTTTTATTGAATGAAATAAACAGATATATAGTTTTGGAAAAATGTAAAATTTTAGTTTAAATATATGATGGTGGATGTATATCAGGTTAAAGGTCAGGGTGTGTTCCCGTCCCGCCTCACCGGTTTGTATCTTGAACTTTCTATCAAACATGTTTTTTTGAAGCATTTGTCAGTGATGTATGTATCTATGAATCTAGACAGTTGTCACAAGGGTTGAACTTCAAATATAAAGCTATCAATTAAAAGACACATATGGTAAATGAGTAAGCTGTTAGAGTCCCAATGACCACGCTCGACATTGGTGAATTAATGAAAACGTCCGAGGTATACCGAATCGCTGTTCAGGTCAGTGGTCTCGTTCAACCAGGCGCTTGATCACTTGTAATTTAAACGTGGCTTGCGCAGATAACAAGTGTCTAGTTGAACAAGACTATCTAGTCGGGAACTAATGAACGCTTCAATGGTTATCCCCCCGCATGTAGCTAGAACAGATCAAATTGCCAGTTACTCATTATTTCCCCAACATTATTTGAATTTACAACATGTATACAATTTGTAACGTAAATGTACATCATTAGCAGTAGTTTATTCCTTTGAGATATAAGAAATATTGACCTTTTTTTCTTTTTTTTTCTTGGTGCATATAAAACGGACAATCCCTATTTGTTAAAACTTTTGAATTCGATAATGTGCTAAAATTTGAATGTGCTAGATGAGTTCATTTCACATTGTATGTATATATGCAAACATTATATATGTATATGTTACAGCAGAAAGAGAAATGCAACGGTCAGACCGGGGTTCGAACCTACATGTCTATACTTCTGTTCCCTGTGGTATTTTGATTAATGTAAAAAATAATTGTATTAATGCACATAAAGTTATTTATATTATCAGGTTAGTATATGATATTTTTATTTGTTATATTTTGTTGGTTCCGGATGGAGGATAACTTTCCGTTTTTTAAACTAGTCCATCCATTTAGAAGTAGTCACGTGAGGTTTTGGTGTACTAAAGTCACGTGACCTGTGCAGAATATTATTTCCATGCTGACATTTTGAAAAATCTCCTTAAAATATCAGCTATTTCCCTACTTGGAAGAGTGTTGAGCATCTGCTACAGAAGGGGTTCACGCATAAGAGGCGAGGTTAGCTATAAGCAGGGGTATCCTCCCTCGGCTTTCGCCGTAAGTACTGTCAATTTAAACATGTCCTGTGGAAACATCGGTGACGCTTAGCCCGCCAATTTGTATTGTTTGTAAACAAACGCATGTGGGGAAGACTTGTCAAAGATGATCACGATTACTGCTATGCTGCTTGGTCATTCTTTCGTTAGACGGATTAAATCCTTTTTGAACAGTTCGATAGATATTAAGGTGACCGGAAATTTCAATTTATGTCGAACGGAGGTACGAGTGATATGTGAAGGATTCCGACCAGGGCAATAACGTTACCGTTTAGTGCAAGACAATGACCCAGTAATAGTAATCTCACAGACAGCGTCAAACGGTCTGTGTGACCAGGACAAATCGGTCGAGGTCATATTTCGGCAGCTAGTGGAACTAGTTGTGACACTTCGTTACAAATATTTAGTGCATCGTGTGATCGTCATGCAGGTATTGCATAGGTTCCCCCCCTTCACGACAAATTTCATCTTTTCATCTCATAAAAAACCGCAATGTATGGTTCCCTTTTCAGAAATGATTTACCAAAAGTACAGTCACGCCGGCATAAACAATTTACAGTACCAACTTTCAATGTTTGACAGTGGTACGAGGATCCTTAAAAAAACATAATTTCACAGGCCGTACTGATATACATATTTTAATACAACAACAAATCTCAATGGTCAAAACAAAAACATCAAGATTAAAATAAACAGATAAACAAATATATTATGAAATCGTAGATCTAGAACGCTTATTGCATAGCATGAAGGGAAACATAACACATCTGTGCACGTGTGATGAGAAATACGTGCCTGCTGAACTCGTTGTAGTAAATGTGTGAAACAATGAAAACCGTTACAAGATAAATGTACGTACCTTACCTAGATTTCAAGCTTCTGAGATGTGTTGTTTATGTCATGCATACTGTGTTTGTCAGCCGATCCTTTATATCTCTGTAGACGTGTGATTCCAGTAACGCGGGGATAGTGGGAAAACCCCTACGTTTACTTCACCGAAACTATTACGTAAATCTGTCGACACACAAATATACACTATACAGAAAATGAATCGGCTTTATCTCAAATACAGACACAGCAAACGTGAAATAACCCGATACAGGACAGTTACTTTTCCCGTGTATGAGACATAACCTCCTGCAGCTGCGTTTTACACTGATTTAGCATTTTCAAAACTATTTAATATTAACGTAACAATCCCAAAGTTGTCCAGTATGACGATAGCACGAGCTCATAAAAAATTAATCACCTTATTAATAAATCTGTGTAAGAGATAATTAGGTAATGTTTACTGTCTGAGTGAGTGTGGAGTACTTAGTGTGTAAATATTTTGTTCGTAAATTTTGTTACTATGTTCGTCAACGCCATGGCGAAGTACCTAAGGTGACCCGTAAGATTACACGGTGTCAGTTCCGACAACCACTGAACTGATACGTTTTGTAATTATATCCGACTACATGTATAATGGGCTTGCTGGCAGTATAAGGTATTGACTTTGCAGCTTACAATGTTTAAATCGAGTTTTCTATTTGAAGCTATATTTGTTTTGTTCATGCTTTTCAAATGTACATAAATAGATATACAAGATTTGGTATAGCACCCTATCTAGCTAACATAAGCCATTCTAAAGCGCTTTACAGTACATAGATATACAATTTTATACAGTCAATACAATTAGCATATATATTAATCAATACAATATTTGAGGAATTCGCAGGAGCTGCCATATCAGGCGCTAACTACTAGTCATATGGCACCTGGCTAATATATCCCTATGTGTGTATGCATGTGTGTGTGCTAGACATGTATTATGTTCTGTTTGTAGCGGGACCGTGCTTCCAACGGTATCATTTATAGTGCCACCTCACTTGAATGCTACAGCACAGATACCGCAACACCCACCCCAGACCATGTTATCGAACCCCGTGTATTTATTTCACTGTGTTTCACTGTTTTGACTTGAAACTTATTTGTAGTTACAAAAGTGCAAATACAATTTTCAATTTGTATAATCTTATAACTAGTTACAAATTTGGCTATGATTATTTGGAACTTGGTTACTATCTTTGTCCGTAGGGTCGCATGGTGTCAGTTCGACAACCTCGGAAGCGTACGTTATATATCATTTTTTAGCAACTATGTACAACTATACAATGAAACTTTGGTATGTAGGTGGGTCCGAACGGCCACACGGAATCAGTTCCGACAAACTTGGAACCGATACGTTGTATCACTTTTTCAGCAACTATGTACAAGATTACACTTATAATTGCAAATTTGTATTGATCTTTGGAACTTGATAAGTCTGGACACGTTTGTCAAGTTTGTAACTGTCTGTGGACATGACGACATGTTTGTTAGTATAATCGTTACCATTGTTAACTTGTCAGCTGTCGCGTCGTCAATAAAGGTGTTGCACGATTTCACGATTTAACTGCAACGGGGACAAATAATTGTCGATGAACCTTACTCAATACAGTTCTTGTTTATAGAAGGAATACGCTTCATGGGGCGACATTTTACTGGGCATTTCGGTTAACTTCATCGTTTTACAACTTACAAAGCAATCATTCGGAACGCCTCGCCCCCGATTACATTTCATTCCGGCGAAGATGAGCGAATCGACCGGGGTGCTCTGAATGACAAAGCAATTTCAACCAAGTGTCACAAGATACTCAACGAAGGGAATCAACGGAGTAGACATTTTGTCTGACGAATGTTTCAAACATTCGAGGAATGTGTTTGTATCTTTTAATATTGTTGTGAACTGATTTGCTAAGGAGGTGCATGGTGCACTGAGCCTCACGACATTATCTTTGTTTTCTTCAATTAATTGGGATGAGAAATAAGCCGAAATAACATAATTTCCTTAAATAGATTTTTTTTTTTTTTTTACTGAATCTCTTCACCATCCCCAGCTTACTATACAGAAACGTTCATGTTATGTTTTGATTCCCTGTGTAGAAACAAAGGGGCACATTCATTTGATAGCACACTACACATGTATATGTCGTCTCTTAAATTAACGGGCCATACTAATTTAATTCAATTCGCCTGTTTGGGGCATGCTATTTTCCGGTATACCACACTATCAGAAATGAAAACCCTGAGAGTAATTGGATGTTTGGGAGCTGTAATGACTTCTTGGTACATGTAGTATCCGGCTGGTTGCCGTGTTTATGTGAATTGCGTGATTAGTAAACAGCACGGTCGCCAGACTCAGAACTAGGTCAGAGTTTATTTGTGCGAGATATGAGAGAGCAACATATGTCAAAAATAAAATAAAAAATAATAATATGGATCTTAAGTTGCTTCACAGTGGTCTCGTTTTAGATTAGATGTATAGCTGTCCGACAGGTGTCAGGGGTTACTTTATTTTTAAAACTCTCTGACGTGGTCAGTTACAGTGTATATTTCAACTAGACTGGCTACCAGCCCCTAAGTTTTTATTAAGAAATACTTTTGTTTAAATGCTGTACTTTATAATAGCGAAGAAATCATCCGATATCATGTTGAGTACATGTACTTTAATATGGGCTGGAATGGAGTGAGATATCCCAACATTTGTGACTGTATTTCATCTTTGATGTCGTTCACAAGCTGAAGGATGACCCGCCAAAGAAATCTGTAGCGCTCTATATATCCCTCTGAATAATTCTGCGTTAGTTAAGAAAGTTCATAACTTAAGACAAAATAGTAAGATAGGGTAGCCCCTAAGCTGTCGTAAGTTACGATGGATTTTTTTATGCGTAACTTAAGATACGAAGTTTCGTAAGACGGAGATTCAACGTAACATAAGATTACGATAAAATCGTAAGTTAAGTCGCTTAGTAAAACTCAGCCCTGAACCTTATGTGATAAATGTAAATATATATTTGTTTCTATTAGATACTTCAATTAGAAAGTTACATATGTATGACATATTGTGTAATATACGTTATTGTATACTTACAAATATATCTGTACCAAAGGCAAATCGAAATGCATTTCACAACATGTTACTTTGGTGCTGTACTATTTCTGTTCCGTACCTTAACACACCGTCACGCAAACGCGCTTCATTGAATTCGCATCTGTCCAGTTGACATCCATATTGCCTGTGAATGCCAACTGAAAGCATTTCAATACACTTGCTGGGCATATCAGGGTTATTACGAAATTGCTGCGTATAATACTACATAGCTGAACATATCTGCTTCCTTAGATTATAATTATACCCCTTACCGTACCTCATATTCCATTCGGAACTTGTTTATTGCGTCTTATACTGCAGTGATAACACAAGAAAGTGTTTCCGTTCCGCAATGCCTAAAGCTCAAGCAGGTCGTCGCCACTATATGAAGACATAGACACCCAGGGGTCCATGAAACTTCAGATTGTATAACGCTAAAAATAGATCACAGCTCCTTCATGTCCACGGTGTAGGAAAGGGTTTTCGGATTTGGTTAAATTTGTTGCCGATAGCTTGTCCTGATTGGAATCAAATCTAGCTATTGGTTGGAATATCGTTGTCCTATACCCCGGGGCATAAGAGAGTATTTTGATTTCGTTTAAATCAACAGAAACTAACAATTCATAAAAAGTCGTTTTGATATACAAGCATTTTGAAAAAGTATCCCCACTAATTTCTTGACCTATTATGGAAAACCCCCACCTTTTAGTGAGCTTAAGCATACATACATGTACAAATGTTTGTACAGGAAAAAAGCCCATATCTTGCTGACTTATGATATGGCGAATAGGCAATGTTGAACACGTACAGTGTTTGTGTGTAAAGTAAAAGCAAACAGCCTTGAACTACGTAACAGCTATAAATAACTACCACGTGCATGTCATCATACTCTTAAGAACACGTGCTTGAGTTCCTGACGATGCTATCGTTTCAAGAAACCTGAGCTTATTTCCATCTTCACCGGTGAAATGATTCTGTAACACGGATGTCCGACAATCAGATGAACCCCGTTCTATTTTAGTTGTCGGCGTACGTCACGTTATACACAATGCATGTATTACGTATTACTGATGAGACGGACTAGATATTGGACAATTGCCTAACTGTGTTGTCTCAGACACTGCCTTGTTTACTACGGTAGCACTATGTAGGGAGATTAATTACCCATTATGAAAACACTGCCTTGTTTACTACGGTAGTAGCACTATGTAGGGAGATTAATTACCAATTATGATAACACTACTTGTTTACTACGGTAGTACTATGTAGGGAGATTAATTACCCATTATGATAAGACTGCCTTGTTTACTACGGTAGCACTATGAAGGGAGATTAATTACCCATTATGATAACACTGCCTTGTTTACTACGGTAGCACTATGTAGGGAGATTAATTACCCATTATGATAACACTACCTTGTTTACTACGGTAGCACTATATAGGGAGATTAATTACCCATTATGATAACACTGCCTTGTTAACTACGGTAGTAGCACTATGTAGGGAGATTAATTACCCATTATGATAACACTACCTTGTTTACTACGGTAGCACTATATAGGGAGATTAATTCCCCATTATGATAACACTGCCTTGTTTACTACGGTAGCACTATATAGGGAGATTAATTACCCATTATCATAACACTACCTTGTTTACTACGGTAGCAGCACTATGTAGGGAGATTGATTACCCATTATGATAACACTACATTGTTTACTACGGTAGCAGCACTATGTAGGGAGATTAATTACCCATCACTTGGTTTGTTTTTTATGGCTCCTCAAAGTTGTACCTTTCAGAAGCTGTCTAAGTGTTGATAAAATGTGCATGTCATGTAAAATATTAATGAAAATCTAATCAAATGATGGTCACCGTAAAGAATACATTCATGGCATGAATGTGACAAAAAATCATGTTTCCATCGCGCTATTTGGCTGTTTTATGGAAGAAACAATCTCAAAAATGCCATTTTCGATGATAACATTTTAGACACAAAAAATGTGTTTTTTAGAGAATACACCCTTTTATGGGCGTTGGATGCAAACCAATTTTTATCCTATTAAACAGTACGTAATATGCTATTGATGAGAGGAAAAATCATCAAAATGTAAGTGGTGGAACATTTTCAAATGTTGGGTTGAATTAGCCTATGGTTGAATTGCCGATTTTCGACTTTCTTTAGATAATTAACAAAAAAACGAGAGT